TCATAGGAATGAATTGTTTTACCCTAAACTGTCTTATTATTATAAGTGACGCATAACTTGTTGCTCTCCACAAACCCAAAAGTGGAACCACAGTGTTATCTCCTCACTGATATAGCATAGGTTTACGATTCATCCACGGGACCAACCATCTTACTTCAGCACTTGTCAATTTTTGTAGGAAAGCTATCCACTCCTTTTTAGACTTTTGTTCTGACCATCCACTTTTACAGAATTTCTTAATCGAGGCTCGATTACGAACATAAAGCTTTGAGCAAGCACTTTTTCTCCATTCAAAATGGCTTTTCATCCATAAGAACAATAACTGTATACAGCCTATAAAATGCCCTTCATTTTGACGATAGTAACTCAAAGATCTGACAGTCTCTGCTAATATTATCATTGAAGGGTTACAACCATTAATCACACTTTCAAAGAAGTCAATCACTGCTATTTCAACAAAACCTAAAACTTTTGAAAACATCACCATTCCGTATATGGCTAGGGCAAATACATCTAACCCCCGTTCTTCGTCGGCATATTGTACTAGAAAATCATGAAAGAACTTTCAGGGTAAGCAAACCTGTTCTTATTTTTTCTTTGTATGAGAATCCACAATCTCTTTGTCTATCCCCATAAGACGGGCTAAATCTTTACGAAATCCTGACTTATGTTTTTTGACATATATCTTGTCAAGGCCCTTGAGGTGCAAACCCAACAAAGTTGAATATTCTTCGATGGTTGGTGTCATATCAACTTCATTGAAGATGAAACACTTGCATACAGGATCCCAGAATTGCACTACAGCTCTAATTAGTTTATTGTTGACACTTATTGCTAGAAGGTGTGCTATATGCCCATGTTTTTGGCAAAACTGGTCTTATCTTGACGGATTCATCTTTTTCTATATGTCAATCAAATCCTCTAGATTATTTTGTTTAAGAAGGATAGATATTTCTTAAGACAAGGTAGAATCAGAGTCGATTGGTAAACAATCCCTCATATTTAGTTAAATCTTTTCTGAATGGACCTTTACTTCATTGAGTGACTCATAAAAAGCTAATACAAATGAAGAGCAAACTAATCATTCTGTGGAGTCCATGAAAAACTCATTGTTGAATATTGTCTTTCAGGCAAATGTCCTTTATGCAACTTTATGATATGAGTATGGATCATACAAACATGAAAAAAAAAAGATTAGTGTACCAAATAAAGAGAAATAAATAACTAAGTAAATTAAAACATCACACAAAATAAGAGAAATGAACCCTACACTTTTAGTCAATTCTAAAGGGAGGGAGATGGCTCTATCTGTAGGTTAGGCATTCTTAAAGTTCACTATATGTGGTTCAAAGTTAAAAGTCTAAAGGTTCCCAAATTGTTCCTTACATTATTGTCCATTACCGACTAGTCATCCATTACAGGTTATAAGCGAAAAAGGTTTAATTTTAGTGGGAGTATTTCGCTAGCCACTGCGGAGGCATTAAACCTCACGAAAAGTAATAGGTACTTTATTTTCTCCTAGAAGGACGGAGCTCAGGTATAGAGCTCATATTATGCTCATGCATATGAATGACATAATTAACAAAGTAAATAAATATTCATGGATAAAAACAAATCTATACAAAGGGTTAGATTTTATTAAGTTTTTGGATAACATAAATTTATTTACTAGCTTGACTCTCGGCTTGTCTCCAGTGGAGTCGTCAAACTGTCATAACGTCTAGATCTGAGGATCTATCGCTAGACATTGACTTTAAGAGTCACCATCAATCTTTTTTGTTTAAGTGCGATTGGTCACCTAGAAATCTATCATTTTAAGGAACACCTAAGCTTGACTAAGGGTCTCTAAAAGAATAGGTTCAGGTCCATTAACCAGAATAGGATTCGGGAGTACAGTTACGTGTGAGGAAGGTTATAGCACTCTCACAACGCCCATCGAAAGATGGTACCAGCTTAATTTTGTGTTATCCAATAAGCCTTAAAAAATTTATCAAATAATTAATTATTAAAAATTATTCTTAATTAACTCCAATACTTTTGGTAGAAAATTAAGAAAATTCCCTCACCTCAAGAATATGCAAAAAAACTACTGTTTCATTTGCAAAAATTCCGTCGTCCGATTATTTTACATTAAAAATTTTTCAAGAAAGAAAAGGAAAAGAAATAAAAATTCAACTTTAGATATAAATCATTTTCTTTTCATCTTTAAAAAAACTCATTGCTTTTGCATAAAGAAAATTGATACTTTTAACTTTTCTTTAAAGCATTTGGGAGTTTTTATTTTAAGAAAAATTGATACTTTCAACTTTTTCTTAAAATATTTTTTTTTAATTTTTAAAGAAAATTGGTACTTTCAACTTTTTCTTAAAATGTTTTTTTTTTTATTTAATTTCAAGGAAAAATTGATACTTTCAACTTTTTTCTAAAAATATTTTTTTAAAATCTTTTTATCTTTAAAAAAAATTAATACTTTCAACTTTTCCCTAAATGCTTTTGAAAATTTTTATTTTAGAAATTTTATTTTATTATTTTTTTAAGGAAAATTGATACTTTCAACTTTTTCTTCAAAAAATTTTTTATTTTATTTTAGAAAAAATATTGAAAAATAAGAAATAAAATAATATAATAAAATAATAAAAATACCAAATAATTTTAAATAATAATAATAATAAAATAAATAAATAATTTAAAAAAACCTTGAAACGACTCAACTCGGCTTGGATTCAGCTCAGCTTGAGAGACAGAATCGGCTCAAATGTGCAGCTCAACAGGAAACGACTTGGCTGGAGCCTAGCCGGAGAAGCAGGTCGCTGGTTCAGGTGCGCTACGGATCGGGTCGTATCTTGGCAAAATGCGCTGATCCTCTGAGTTTATTAACGCAAAAACGACCTCGTGTTAGAAAAGGTATATAACGCTGAAACTCGATCTTTCTTCATATTTTCCCTATCTTTTTCTCTCTTTTCCCTTCTTTTCTCCTCTTCTCTCTAAATAATTTCAGATTCCGATTGAATGTTCTACTGGATTCTGAAAAAAAGCGTCGAAAACTTTAAAGTTGGTCGAAAACTTCATTGAAAAATTCAAGTTTCACAGGAAAATTTATCGGAATCTGGAAAATTTTCAAAAATTTTTCAGAAAAAAAATGCTAAAATCTCCAAAAATTTACCTAAAAATTCTAGAGCCGCCTTCAAAATTTTTTTGCTTCTGTTTTCTTTCTGTTCTCTTCTCTGTCTTTTCGGTGTGATTTATGGACTTATTTATAGAGATTGATCAGAAGAGTTTCGGATTAATCATAATTTCATCTTGGATTGGGATTCAATCTTTGAATCTAATTCAAACTCTGATTAAATCCCAAATTCACAACAAAATTTTAATTTTTTCTGATCCTAATCCCAACTGAAAATCAATAAAAAAAAAGATAAAGTCAAAAAAAAAATAATAATAATAATAATAAATACATATTAATAAATAAATAAATAATAATAAATAAAAATAAAACTACAAATGAACTTATCATTTGGATCAGGTCCAATTAATTCGACCTGAATCAAATTGGATACCTACACTTGCATAAAACCCTTTTTTTTTTTTTTTGTTTGAGATCCCCAAACTAAATGGCACATAATTTTTGGCAATAATTAGAGAGTTAGGACTTCTAGACATGTTTCTAAGATCTAGGGCAAGAGAATATAGATTGAAAATGAAGTCAGAACTGAACGAACGTGAGCAATAACAGCGAGCTAATGATTAATAATTTCATGTGTGTTAGGAAGTAGTGCTGTCGATTCCAGACAATTCCCTGAATCAAAGGGGTCATTTGCTGCATTACGAGACAAGGTTTGATCTTACTTGTACTTCATCAATTCCTTGAATGATCATGAGAAGAAACCACCATCACATATTAAAAATTCTGGCCAGCCACTGAAAAGTCCCCTCCCCCCAAGCTCACCCCAACAAGCCAAGCCAACACTTAAGAATCAAATGCCTCAGCAAATTCCATATCCTTCATTGACAAGAAAAGAATTATATAAAAAAGCTTTCATAATTCTCTCCGACATGACCCATTGATATATAGCAAATAATTTTTTTTTCTTTGGTAAAACTATTAATCAAACGTAAAATGACATTAAGGAGTAGTATTAACAGGCATGTGCAACTTTCAGTTTTCCAAGCCAGTCTCAATTTAAAATGGTTATTATAATAGTGCAGTATATATCGACCCTAAAAGGCATTAACAAATCAAGCAAGTCAAAGATATTATATATAGAACAGTACTGCCACTGATGATGAATCTGATATATACTTTGATAGCTTCTTGAAAATTGTTAACAGTTCATTTTAAGCCCACAAAAATGTTATAATAGGTTTCAATATAAACATTGCATAAGTTATTATTATTATTACTTGCTTGTATTGTAGCCAAATTCTGACCAAACTCAAACTTGTCCAACTCTACTTGCTGTCATATTCATGGAAATCGTTCAAATCTCCCCACCATATCTCAATATGGTTGTCTTTCTTTACAATTATTTACAAATTCATACTTGCTTTATTTCTACTTTTCATTAGGTAATCATCATCAGACAATCACGACTCAATTAAGATTTACATAAACTTTAAATTAATATCATGCATATTATGTCCATGTTTCAACATCATTGAAAATTTACAGTACTCAATGGTATAGACAATTAGACATGAACTTTGCAAATGATGAAATTCTTCAGTATCAAATCCTCATTCCAAAGAATGTATTTCGAGCGAGGGTGCAAAAGGGAGTGAGATTACAACAAATAAGACAATTTACATTGAAAGATCCAATAACATAATCCCTTTTCAGTTACTTTCAATCATCAATATCAATCATAAAGAGGCGCTGGATGGTACTCGAGTCTGAAAATGAAAATGCAGGTGCATGGCTTTGCAAAGCAAGTTCAAGGGATGAACAGACCTTCAATTCTGATCGCATAAAAAAAAAAAAAAAACTGTTTTATTATTTAGGTGAATTAAAATGGGAGGTGATTCATCATCCACCAAACTGCAAGGAAATTTTCTTTTGCAATTGTTTTTCTTTTTTTCCCTTATCGAGTTCTTGTCGCAATATCTATGACCTTTTGCAAAGAGGGCATTGATGCTGTTAGGTAGGATAAGTCTAATTCAATATTGCCATGGGTTTGAAGTCCTCACATTTGCAACTACCTCTATTGTGGCTAGCCCTTTACTCTCCTTCCTGGATCCCGAAAGCTGTACCAGGTAAGTCGCTGCTGTTGGAAGCCTGTCAAGCACTTGAAGTGAACCAGCAAGAAAGATAATATCAACCGCCTTCCTTTCTTTGGATCCTATTCATTTTTTATTTGTACATCTACGGTCATGTATATTTCCCTAAACACTACCTTACAAGACCATTACAAGACCAGCCTCGTAACCCTTGAAGGTTGTGAAACATTAAAAGGTTATCGCTCACTCTCAAAAAACACCCTAATTAAGGCTCCTTTTTGTCTCAATTCTATCACAATTTCCCTGGATTCTCAAGTTGAAACCACCTTGATCAACATAAAATGACGTGAGTACAGCCATACCAAGTAAATGCATACAGTTCTCCTAGCAGGCAGGTTCCTTCAGTCTTGATACATTCTGTGTTCTTCATTTTACAAAATAAGGATAAAACAATCAACATCAGCCACAGCCACCAGCAGATAAATCAGGGAACAAACAAACAAATATCATCCATAATATTGGCAACTGAATCCCACGTGCTATTGAAAGGCTGCGACTGTGGTAAATTAAAGCAGCAGCAACTTACACAGAAGTTAGCTTTTACAATGAAATAATAGTACCTTCCTCTATTTGTTTCACACGGTTTTACCCTGTCCTCCATGCCAGGGATACTAACAAGTTCGAAAATTCTCAAACTCAATGCTACTTATTGGTTAAGCAAAAACTCAGAGAGAAATAACACAAATTGTTAATCAATAATCAATTTTAAAGTCATAAAGTTATGCGGAAAATGGATTTTGAACGTGTGGTGGCCTTTTATTTTCTCCTTCCACAAAATGAAAAACAGCTCAATTACATCTATTAAACCCCGCATTGTCACCACAATCTCCAGAGGAGAAATTAGTGGTTAATCTAAGTGTAGGCACTTTACAATTCAGCTGTATAACAGCTTTATCATCTATCCTCTTACAAAGCTGACACTCTGTGCAATCCGCCATAATTAATACTGGAAGCAACCAAATCAAGCATAGCCAACAAAACTTGCCTAACAAGCACCAATATATGTTGTGGTTGCAACTCCACGTACAGCATTCTTAGCTCCATCACATTTCCCTCCAACAAATCAAGGACAAACCTTAAATGCTCGGCTCAATGAAAATTCGATCCCAAGAAATTTGCCAAGAATCCCTCTTTCACAATAAAGCTTAGAAACTCAAATTACCAAACCACCATCACAAGAATCATGTGATAAGGTGTACTCAAGCATTTATATAAGAGCAATAAAATGATAAATAAATCAACAATATTGGGTTGAAGAGAAGAATTCAAATGTCATTTGGATTCAACAACGGAATCATTTATCACTACCCAAAAGGTATATATTTTACGATCAGATTTTGAAATATCTACCTGATAAAAAGATGATTCTTAGGAACAATTCTATTTAGGTTCAATCAACTACAAGACAACTTGGTATTTACTCTATTACAATATTCTAGTGCAGCCATGATTTACAACCAAGGAGAACTCCTTTTAGGTCCAAGCTCGAACCACTTACAAAATAAAAACGACTAAATATTGCAATATCTATCAGAATTTTTTAAACTCCACACATAGGATTACATTTTCTGTGATGCTATATAAACTAATAATACAAAAATTAAGTTTTCTAGTGCCTTATGATCTTTTATGGCACCACAGTCCACACAAAATTCCAAAGAAATGACCAAGATTTAAAATCAAGCATACCATCCTCATATCACGGGGATAAACATCTAGAAAACAGCATTAGCCAACTTTAAGCCAGTCAAAATCAAAATTCTTAAAAAATGAGCGCAGTTTTCTAGAACTATTCTCACAATTAATTTCAATAACATGAAAGGATGCAAAGAATAGACTTCTGACTGCAGAATTACAGTGGCAATAGAGACATTTATCTCATTTTTATTCACCAATTTGAAACATTATCGCCACTCACCAACATAACCATAATCAACAGGTCAAAACTGGATACCATGATGGATTTATTTCTCTAACTATCAGACGATATTAATAGAAACTTTTAGCAAAAGAAGCATCCACCAAAATAAGTTAAAACCATTACAAACTAAAGAGAATTTCAAGAGTAAGTTAAAACCAGATACTAATTAAAGGTGGGTAAATAAACACATTCAGCCAATTGATCCCTGGAAAGCTGAATTCTGATTTATGAAATGAAGTAAGCAGCACCAATGGATTGAGACGAGTAAGCTCCAACCTCCACAAGCACTTGCTACTAGATGGGACTGAGATAATTAGCAAATCTACCTGTCATCCGCAAAAAGACAAATCATAGATAAAGTCACACACATATTTATATACATAACAAACAATGAATTCATTACCTTCGAAATGATTTGAAAATGACGACAACATCTATCATCTAGACAGTACAAGCAAATATTAGTCCACCTTTTACCTTTTTGCTTCTAAGAAATGCTAGTTTTCTATCTATGACAACAGTTTCCTTACCAGAGAGAAAACTTTCATTTCCCTCACTAAATTAGCAACAGAAGATGAAATGCCTCCAAATTACACTAAAAGGTACTGAATAAACTGATTAGGTATCTTCTACTTAAGCAATAATTATACACAGCTTAATCCAAAGAACTAATGCTCAAATGCTCTACCCCCATTATTGCTAAAGCGCTAATAGGGTGAGCTTTGGAATATACGACCCCTTGGCTAAAATTTAACAATGTTTCCATCGATGATAACCGCTGGCAACCGCTGAGTGGCTTAAAGTACATAAGCATGTAAGAAAATCTTTCCACCAACCCCATATACCCCACAGGCATAGGAACAGGAACAAAAACAAAAACAAAAACTGCCAAGTAGAGCTAAACTCTAGTTCAAATTGTAGAATTTTCAGCAAAGAATTAGTTCCAGTAGAATGAGGAATGAGCAGCAGTTCAACCAGATTTAAAACAATTCAGTTTGGAGTTTGAGGTTTTCGGATTAAACTACCCAATCCGATCAAGTCATGTTCTCAAAACAACCAAGACGTATAAACCAGAGTACCTAAACCGAAAATGTCAGAAAAGCAAAATTGGAGATACCTTCAGCACGACTGTTGGCATCACGGGGAAGCTTGGAAACAAGGCAAGCCGATGCAACCGCACTGTGAACCGGTTGAAGAGTGCTTAGTTCTCGTCGAACTAATCTGAACATATTACCCAAAAGAAACCAAAATTTTAAACCATGAGCTCTTAGAAAAAAACCCATTTATTCTATTAACAAAGAAACATAAAAAGAATTACCGAGAAAGAGAGGGAGGAGAAACCCGGGTCTGATGAAGAGTGAAATTGGAGCGAAGTGAAGGATTTGGAACTGAAAATGGGATTCCGGTTCTTGTTGCTGTTCTGAAAATTGGACGAAGAAAAGAAGATCTTGCTGCAATTTTAGCTGCCATTTCTTTGTTCTCTCAATTGGAACCAAGAAAAGTGAAAACCTCTGCAAAACCCTGGTTCCTAGTAAACCTGTGCTGTGAATTTGCTCGCTGCTTTGTTTGTTTCGTGGGACTTGGTTTAAGAGACTGGACCTTAGAGTCCACCAGGGCCAAGCCCATTGCTTCTAATGGAAATGGCCTACATAATAATTCTCTTTTTACCATATATTTTTAGTAATAAAATTATTAGATTAAAATAACCCAAAAAACCCATAACTTTTACCATTTATTTAATTAAGCTTTTATTGTATCAAACAAATATTTTATATTTAATTTGTATTCAAATCAACTCTTAATTTTTAATTTATATCCAAATTAATCTTTCACTTTTAATTTATATCTAAATTAATCTTTTTATTTTTCAAAAAATAATTTTTTAATTTTCAATCACTTCATTAGGTCATATTGTTATCTTCCATGGTTGATTGTTATAAAAGCCAAGGTAAAAGTTTATTTAAATACAAATTTTAAAAAATTATTTAATTAAAAACTTATAAGGACTTATCTGAAATAGATAAACAATTTTAAAAAATCACTTAGTATTTTAGCCTTTACACATTGATGATGAAACTTTTAAACACAAATGGAATTATTTTACTTGTGTAATTCTGTTAATTATGTCTTCCAGAATCAATGTTTGATTTTACAGGCAAATATACACATCAGATTTCAGATGTCCTATATTGTTTTCATCCACCACACTACCAAGGGAACTCTTTTACTGGTTGAAATGTATTCAACCAACTTCTGCCATAGATGCAATCCTCAGTACATATCTCAACCAAATCATTGCATACGGTGCGCAAATTACAGTTCAAAATTTCCATGCTTACTGAACATTTCAACCGATATGCATCATCGGCATTGCAAGTATCTTTACGAGATATGTGGGATCTACCGTTCTATACATATTCACAATTAAAATGATTCATCATCCACTGTTGATCTTGTAATTGGTATAGACCATCTCCCTAGATGGGCAGTGTAGTTTATGCACCGGATGACGCCTCTACTAGTAGGTCCATCAGGGAAATCTACAACACTGATGCTCCCTGCATCAAGATGGAACGATCCCAGCCATTCTTTTGTCAGATTTAGGCAGTGTCCCATCAATGCTACGAGCACTGTGGGATGACCAACAGCAACAATGATTGTTTCTTTCTCGGATTCGTCAGATAGTTCAGTCAACAGTGAATGCCAGGCTCGCCCAGATTGCTCCCATAGTGTTGACATGACTTCATCGTCTAATCCATTTAAACAACCAGGGCGTAGAGACGAAACATCAATTGTGTCCTACAGAACAGATAAAGTCGACTGATTAGAACAATTCCATTAGAACATTAAAAATAGAACTTCCTTATCACATTTTTATAGCCCAAAAAGGCTTTTGAGACATGACTCTTCCACATAGCATGCAATGTTCTTGTCTTCATGCTAAGCTCTCGACCACAGGCAAATGAAGCAAAAAGATCTTTATGCCCATATCATCTATGACATGACTTAATTGAACACTTAATAATTACGACACCAATTTCTTTACTCCCTCCTTATCTCTGTGAAGAAAATAATAAATTCAAATAGAGGTATGAGGTTCCTGTAATGTCAAGCTCAGATATCCTGCCTTTGTTGATTGCTGAAGGATTTCTGCAACATCAAGGTCCTGTATTTGCTTCATCTCTACATACCGAGGAACACAATCAGCACCCAAGCAATCAGCAGCCTCTTGCACCTACAATATAGAGAGTTTTTGGAATTATGGGACCAAAATGGACTCTTCAAGGGAACCCAAAACTTAACAGATCTCGTCTATATGGTTAAACATCAAGAAGAGAGAGACAGTGTATGACTTCTCACATAATGACTGAATGACAATGAAGATGAGCTTACTCTGGAGATAATTGTGGCTGTCTCAGCACACGCACTCCTTGGGCTGCTAACTATGGCACTCACTTTCAGATCAAGAAGCAGCTCTGCAGTTTTCTGGGCCTGTTAAGAACCATTGAATAGATTCAGATAATATGACTCTCAATGATCAGTCCGCAAAAATGTTATCGATCTTATACCTGTAAAATCCCAAGCATGTTCAGGGGTCGATCACCTAAGTTGGAAAAACTAGCCTGTGGAATAATTGAGGTAATTATTAATAGTCCCAACATTTAAAAGAGATTTTAACCCAACACGATGATAGAATAATCCAACAGACTTTAAACAAGTAAAACAGTTTACCCATCATTCAGATAGCATTCCCTCTCCAGTAGGAAAATTTTTTAACATTAAATCAACAAGGCTTATAGGTGCGCTCAAAGTTATTAAAGTTCTAAGGACCATTCTCTGCTAGATGATACGACCCTCAGGCTGCAAGAGAATGTGTCTGAATACAAGAGCACCACTTCATGCAACTTAAGGTTATAAATATCACCCAAAACAAAACAAGGGGCAATCTACCGAGCTATTGCTCCCATACCTCTATATCCTGTGTGGATCCCTGACAAACAAGTATGATCCGCTTACTGGTCTTTCTTCCTCCAGAGCTCCCAGCAGCAACAGGTGAACTTGGTGTCTGCAACAATATTTAAAAGATGCCATAAGCAATTATATGACCTACATAGCAGTAATCATCATCAAAGAAAACAATGATTTACTTGAAAGAGACCTACTGCAGTAGCATAAAGGAAAATATTTACCATAAATTCAGTAGTTCAGCTCATAACTAAAAACCGATCATGATGCATAATAAAGTGTGATAATCTAATTTAGAGTAACATTCATTTGTTTGAAAAGTTATAGTTTGCATCAACCAACAAAATGTTGCCATGTTGGTATGTTTGGAAAGAGGATGAAATGATACAAAGGCAACAAAAATTCAAAACAGCACTCAGCTGTTGAGTTACCAGAATCATTCTGGTTTGGCCTAAGAAACCTTAGTTCTACTATTTCATATTTATAGGTTTAATCTGCCAAATGTCAATTCCAGTACAAAAAAAGAATTTAAAAAGTATGATAGTTTTCAGTAATTTTATATCATACCTGATTTAAACGATTGAGACAGATATATGGAGACCCTTCCTCAGGGCGTGGCGTGAAATCAAGCACGCTGACACCACAATTGCTCTGAAGTAAAACCCTAAAGTATTCTGTTCCCAGTCCTGATCATCAGGCAAGGTAAAAGGATAAGAAAAAAAAAAAGAAAAAAGTAAAGTCCATCTACCTTTGTGTACTAACATGTAACTATAATAGAGAAAGGGACCAATACCAATTGCTGTCGCAACTAGAGCCTGATTAACAGCATTGTGAGCAACCACAAGAACAGACTTGCTTTCATGAGCAAGGATTTTAGTCCAGCAGTTGCTGGCACGGGCCCACAACTCTCTGACGGGAAAATGACCATCAATGTTGAAATTCGCAGCATCAACCTGCCATTGGCGATAAGCTGGACCAAACTTTGCCTTCCCCTCATGCTTTAAGAGACCCTAAAATCCGCCAATAAACTGAGATAAAAAATCATAACAAGACATTAAATCTTCCTAACCAAAAATATACTCATGCATTGTGAGTTTCAATAACACGTAAAAACAAGATGGATGAGCAAAACATACTTGAAATGAATAGAGATCAATTTCTCTCAAATCGGAATCTGTCATCATCTCTTCCTTTCGAGTGCCCCATATGATTTCAGCTGTTCTTTTTGACCGAATGAGAGGGCTGACAGAAGAAAGAAAACCCACATCAGCAAAGTGATTATAAGAATTCAAAAGAAAAGAAACCTTCCGAATTAAACTGAAAAAGTCATAATGTAAAAATAACATCATAGTATTACTCATTGTCTTTAATTAAAAATAGAGAAATTATTTGATAAGTGAAAATTTTTTAACTTTAAAGGTGAAGTTAAACATATTGACACATGTTTCATTTTTTTTAAATTAATTTTTTTATTTTTTAAAATATATACTAAAAAAATGTGTCACTACCTTAATCCGATTATGAAAAACTGACTGTGAGTGTATTTATAATTTCTCTTAAAAATAAGCAGATTATCACTTATCCAAGCATAATCCTGTTATATTAAGATATTAAGAGTTTCTATTCAAACAAAATCAAATTCTAAATTTTAATTCTTCAAAAGAAAATATATTTTCACTCCTAAATACCAAAAAATATACATTTATATATAGGTAAATAATAAAAGTAAATGTTTGAAAATAACAACCAAACAGAAAGAAAATTGAACAGAAATTCAAAAGATAGCGGCAAAGAAGACCTGGAGAAGCAAACATCGAAGGAATCATCGATGAGCATTTGGCGGGAAGTCTCAGCCTGAGCCTCACCTTTCTTAGTCAAAACAGAGAAGTTAGAGCTCCCTTGGATCCTCCCTTCCTCGTTCCACGTGCTCTGCCCATGCCTCACCAGCACCACCCTCTTCTTCGCCTTTATCGAAGGGAACGGAACCGACGCATAAAGCTCCGAACTCAGCTCCCTCTCTTCCACCTTCGATGGCGACGACTTGTCGATCTCTTGGAGACTCGATGATGATCGGACGGTGAACAGAGTTCGACGTTTGGTAGGGAGTTGGTACAGTCGGCCGTGGAGAAGCGGAGGAGATTGTGTGAGGGAAATCATTTTGGATTTTTTATTTTTCTATTTTTTGATAATTTTTGTTTTTATGTTTTCGCGGTAAATATTGGAAAAGAGGTTTTCAGATTCTTTTTTTTTTGGTTATTTTTTTGGTATGGTTACGGTTGTTTCTATGGAGTTCACGAGGGAATGACATGTGGCAACAACCTATCAGCCTGAGATATGCAGAAGCCCAACTTGATTAAGTTATTCCAAACCCAGCTCAGGAGCCCATTCTTAAATCGAGTTGAAATTGGTGAATTGGGTTTGAGCCAGCTCAATTTTTATAAAATCAAATTTACCCATTAAACTTTTAATATTAAAAAAAAAAAGTCATTTTTACCATGCGCTTTTCAACTAGAAACGAAATCTAAATTATCTTTCAAATTCCAAAATCATTACTGTTTGGCTTTACGTAGAGTCCCTTTAAGCTAACTGCTTGAAATAATTGCTTTATGTCTTGATAAATTTTAGCTTTTTGTTTAAATTATAAGTAATCATATCTATAACAATAAAACTTTGATTGTCAATCAAAGTTTTACTTAGAAACTTGTAACGATGAGAATATTGAAAAGTAATGGACAGAATATTGATCCAAGGTGATTACCCATTTTTAAAATAAAGATAAGACTCAATGTTTGAATCCCTTCTCCTTTAGAAATTCTTCCTTTATATGAAATAAATAAATAAACAAATCAAATAAAGAGATCTACAGGATTCTCTTCGCAGGTAGAAGTAGTGATATTGTTCATTTGAAGTTTATTAATGTACATTAGAGTATATTTATCATTGAAATTTTAATGATTTTAAATCATGTAAAAAGATAAATAAAAAATTAATTAAAAATAATTTGACAAATTTTGATTTTAAAATTTTATTTCAAAATACATATGTCTTCACTATTTTTTTTTTTTTTAGCGTGATCATTTCCCCGTTAACCTAAGCATATGATTTGCTTGACAACCAACACCAAAATTTTTGTGATTTGATATATCATTTAAGTTAATTGAATTTGAATATTTGATTTAATTGATCGATGATACGTTGTTTAAATGATAAAGATAGAATCTTACTTAAAAAAAAATTGAAGAATTCAAATGAAAAAAATCAAGCTCTAAACAAGCCAATCCCACTGCGGACCAATAGCAACGGCATTAACCATTGGCTAGAAGGCACATCAAAATCCAACAAGCTACAGCTATTACTCATTAGATATGGTAGGTTCACTTTAGACCAAATCAAACACATCATTTTCCAACCCCTTCTTCAAACGGCTGGAATTGGGTTTCATTTACCACCAAACTTTTGCTTGACTCTTCTTTTTCTGTTAACTTTTTAGGGGTATAAATATTAAAATACAAAGTAATTTTATTATATGTGTAATCTATTTGTTTAATCAATAAATTACAAAATATTATTTAATTATTTATTAATTTTAATAAATAATTAAATTTTAAAAATGTTTTATTAATTTTTATAAACAAATTTAACATAAACAAATTTCATTATATTTATAATCCGTTTATTTAATTAACAAATTTTAAAATAATATTTATAATTACTTATTAAATTTAATAAATAAATATAAATATGTAAAAATTAAATATATTCATGAATTATTTATAAAAAATTTTATTCGCACCCCTAACTTATCGTTAGCCATTGCTTTCCCACCACCACCACGGCATTCACCAAAAGATCCATCCAGCTAGCAATCTTTTTCTTTCGTCTTTTACGGTAGTTTTGATCAATTTGCCTTGTGGGCTGACCCATCATGAGATTTGTCCGTTGTGGAGATGGGCACCTTCACTCCCCCACCAACCCGGTCCTTCCCTTCTTTGCCATCAACGCATCATCAAAGCCAGCTTGGAGATATTCATCCTTATCAATTTCTTACTCTTTTTCTTTTCAATTCCCTTTAATAAATTTGTGCTATTGCTCCATTCGCACTGTTACCATAGTGTGATGACAAATATGGCATGGTCCAGGCCTATAGCACTCATATGGCCTAAAACAAGTTGATGATATTGGCTGTGTGTGGAGAGAGAATATGAATTCAATGCTTCCACCATGCATTTAAAATGGTTAATATTGATTACTGCAACTCTAACCTGATCTAAACAAGATTAAGCTGATTTTATATGAGTGAGATCACATGATTTGGCACCATACTCACTGTGCTTAAGACAATGATGGCTTTCATGTCCTCTCTTTGAATGCCAGGCAATGATCATCTAACACGGAAAAAAGGGCTTGACAAAATAGATTTGCCTGAAAATTACATGGATGAATCTGGTGAAGAAGACAAGATACATGTGTTTTCTAATGAAAGGTTTCTATCAATCTAAAATTCACTTAAAAAAAAAAAAAAAAACAAAGAAAAAGATCAGAAACTTGTTTTACCCCTAGATAAGATAGGGGGAAAAAGTAAGTCTTTCTGAAATAAGTTTGTCTCCTTAAAGGACTGCAACTGTGTGTTGATCTGCTGGTCATTAGTGCTTTTTATGAGGCACCAACTTTTCCCTCATTCACTTCACCCTTTTTTTTTTTTAATTATAATCCTAAATTCCCAGATATTACGGTATTTCCTTCACGTATCCAACTCATCAATTACCACATATGGGACCAGCACAAATTTGCTTTTCTTTTCTGCTCTTGATTATGCAAAATGTGGCAAAAACTGCATTTACAACCCGCATTTCATTTGTGACCAAACTGAATCAATCATTATCATCATTAACTTTTGTAAAAAGGAAGAAAATTTGAAAAAAAGAAAAAAAAAAAAGAGAAAGGAAAATTATTTTTTATTGTATTTGATATGAGTGATGGAAAATAAAGAAAAAAATGATGTTAGAAGTAAATTATAAATAAAATGATTAATTTAAGTTGAATGAATTTTTTTACTTGAAATGATATAATTTGAAAAAAAAAAAGAATATAAATCTACTCATATTCTCTGATTAAAAAAAAAAAAAACGTAACATTATTGTTGTGATGAAATACAATGGTTGATTCAATATTTTCCCATCTAACCAAACAAAATTTACAGCTGTATTATTATCTAATAAAGTAGGAGCTGTTTTTTATTATTTTAATAAAAAATACCATTAGAAGAAAATAGACAAGCCAATTGAGCAATGAGTAAAGAGGAGAGTGTTTGCAAATGCTTAAGTGAGATTAAAAAAACAAAATTTTGATTTGATTTCTTTCATTTTCAGAGATATCTAAAGTCACTCTTTCACATTTAATTACTTGTAGGACCCAAATCAAAACTTTTGCTTGGGGTTCAACCCTATTTGCCTATACTTTCAAATCCTACTTTTCCCTTCCATGCCCACTGTCAATTTCTTGTTCAACATGTTGTCAAGAAAAACATAGCTACGACTTTAGTTTCACCAAATTCGTGGTTTTGGATACGAATCAATTTTAACTTAACAAAATGGTTCAAATTTAACTAATATATATTTTAAAATCATTCAATGTTTATAGTAATAGTATTTTTTTTTTTAATATATCGAGAGGATGAATATTAATAATTTAAAATTGTTTTTTTTTTTCTCAAGAGTTTTTAATTAGCCGTTAATATTATAAAAGATCACAAGAACCAAAGAATTTCAAGAGTTTAACAATATATATCTATATATATATATATATATAATCTTATTACACGACAGTCAACAACAGAACACAAAGTCACGCTTACAATCAACATTAAAAAAAATCCCAGAGTTTTATTACATCATCCCTGTGATCTCGGAATAAACCAAACCAAACCCAACCCCAACAACGGAAAAACAATAGAAAAAAACGCGGTTTTAGCTCTCCTCCACCACACTCTCTCTGTTCATTTCATCTCACTTAACTTCACTTCCCCAAAAAACTCACTCACTCTCACACTTCTCTTTTCTCTTGCCTTTTCTTCTACTAAACTAAGCTCGTTTCCTCCTTTTCTCTTTCTACAATACAAAAGAAGCTTCTCTTCTTTCTCTCTCTCTCTCTCTAAAAAGCTCCTCCAAAACCCCAAAAAAACTACTTTTTGTTTTGTTATTTTCTTTCTCTCTTAAAATCCCAGATCTGTAATCTTCATCTACAAGCTTTAAAGCGATAACCCATTAAAAAATTTTGGTGTTTTTTAATAATGTCGAGTTCTGATCCGAAAACCCGACCCAAACCGGGACCATGGCCACCAGCTCCCGATGCTGCTCCCGTTCCGCCTTCTTCTTGGGCTAAGCGAACTGGTTTTAGGCCCAAATTCTCAGGGGAAACGAATGCCAGTGACTCGGGTCAAATAGCGTTGCCTCCGAGGGCTAGAGAGAATGAGAACCAGACTGATCTCGAAGCGGGTCGGGCTCGACCGGTTCCACCGCTGGCTAATGGGGAGCCGCCGGTGAATGAGAAGGGTCCAGCGGAGAAGGATCAGATGGTGAAGAAGAGGAGGGAGGCTGATGGGGCGAATAAAGGGAGCTCCGGTGCCGGTGCTAATGGGCATACGGGTACGAATGGGGCCGCAGAAACAGGGACTGCACCACAGGCACAGCAGCCGAGGAGGAGGCCGTCGAGGAATGAGGAAGTGGTTGATGTGTTGCCACAAAATGTGGATGATGAAGGATTTGTAGGGAGGCATTCACATATGAAATATGAGCTTAGAGATACTCCTGGTCTTGGTAAGTTTAACACTTGTTTTTCTTTTTCCTATTTGTTTTAAATGTTTAATTTGCATTTCTTTTTTTTTAAGTTGGGTGAGGAAGAAAAAAGAAGAAGATCTTTTTTATTAGTTTAGTGCAATTAGTAGTTGTGATTCTTTTTATTGAGTGTGGCTTGTTTGTTGGTGTTTGTCACATTATCTGAAAGTGAAAATGATTCTTTTTTAATCGTTTAATTGGTCTTTGTGGTTTAGCTTGTACATACTCTGAGATTTGTCTGAATTGACAACTGAAATGGGTTATGCTTAATTATTTAATTTTTGGAGTATTACTTAGTTATTAATTTATTTTTCTATTTGAGGTTTAAACTGTGTGCTTTTATTGGTTTTAGAGGCTTTACTTATGCGCATGATTTATCGGTTGCTTTCTTTTCTACGTTTATTAGCTATTTTGGGAGTGGACAATGTGGTCTTTGCTTAATTTTATCGATATATTATTGATAATTTAAGATGTGTTATTGCTTGTAAATTTGGTGATGGTATGACTGTTGATTTGGTGCCAAAATACGATATCTTGCTATGTATTTATATTCATTTGAAATGGTAAAATATTTAAAGAATGTGAGTTTTGATGGTTTGAGAGTAATTTTGTTTTGACTGCTATTTTTCTTTTCCAGTTCCCATTGGTCTTTATGGGTTCCAGCATTATCTTTCAATGTTGGGTTCATTGATACTTATTCCGTCCGTTATAGTTCCTGCAATGGGTGGCACTTATGTGAGTGGTTAAATTATGCTTTATTTTAATTTGAAGCATGTACATATAGGAGTGTAGACTGTGGACTGCTTGATCTGATTGGATTTAGTGGGTGTAGGAGGATACTGGAAATGTGGTGTCCACGGTGCTCTTTGTGTCAGGAGTGACCACGCTATTGCATTCATTCTTTGGTTCACGGTTGCCTCTGATTCAAGGTCCATCATTTGTTTACCTGGCTCCTGCATTGGCGATTATTAACTCTCCAGAGTTTCAAGGACTAAATGGAAATGTATGCTTCTATTTTTGGCCATACTTACTTCGGCAATAATGTTATTTTGCATTTGTCCACCATTTCATAAATTATTTCACTTGTATGGAGTTGCACAATTTATAAATTATTTGACTAATAGATAATATCATTTCATATATTAAATGGGTTTGATATTAGGATTTTAGTATAAGATATTGCAATGGGAAGTAGGATTATAGTTTGTAACTTTGGGGTTAGATAATATACTAATAAAGGTGTTGTTGCAATTTAAGGATCATGGTTGCGGAAATTTAACACTATATATGGAGGATTTATGATGGAAATTGATAAAAAAAAATGTGGAGGGTTCAAAATTTCGATGTTTAGAAAGCAGGGTTCATTTGTTCTATGTTAGAGATGAACTTGAGTTGGAGGTTTTTTACTTTGTGGATAACTCCATGGCAGTTGGGAAAGAATAAGAAATAGAACAATCAGAGGAAATGATATCACTTCAGGCTTTGGTGTTTTAATAACCAAAATAACAAGTCTTCTAAAATATCATAATATTTTGGATATTTATAGAGACTACTTTAATATTCTCTACTGAATAGGATTGAGATTCCAAATAGCAAACTAATAGACACATGACATCATGCTGCAAATTACATATTTGCCTTGGATGTGAAAACCCTTCTGAATTTCATTTTATTTCCTTCTGCTAATAGCACATCATGCTGCAATCTTGTACCTCATCTATATTTCCTTTTTCTTTTTTAAATTTCATTTTATGCGATGGCAAATTTGAGTTTGCTGAACATCTACCCTGTTGATTCATTTCATCTTTGCAGAACTTTAAACATATTATGAAGGAGTTGCAGGGGGCCATTATCATAGCTTCAGCTTTTCAAGCAATACTTGGATATAGTGGACTAATGTCATTATTCTTGAGGTATTTTTCATTTACTAGTTTGATTATTCGTGAGTTATGTTTCATTTTTATTTATTTATTTATTTATTTTTTTTTGAGCAGAGAGTTTGAATTGCTTGAATTGCTGTGTTGTGTAAGATAGAATTAGATAAACTGGTTAAGAGGCCAAACAAATTATTATTCTAACCATTAGTCCCATTTCCATATAATTAGGTTTGGTATCTATTCAGCATTTCTAATCGGGCAGATCCAATTTGGTCTGTAGGTCAAGTCAAGAGATATACTATAACAAAGCTACAAACTGTGATATGTCAGTAGAAAACATCAAGCAACCTGATTCCAAAGCTGCTTATAACTTCTAAGCAAGAAATTGGATTAGCCATCTCTAAACATCATATCAAATGCAAAATAAGCTCCATGCCTCTCCAACTTAACGCACCGTTTGATCATAACATACTAATACTACTTGCACTAAAATCTGTCCATTGAGTGGTGTGTTTTAAACTGAGTTCATTTGTGTTTATTTTCAGGTTAATAAATCCAGTGGTAGTTGCACCTACCATTGCTGCAGTTGGACTTTCTTTTTATAGTTATGGTTTCCCACTAGTTGGGACATGTCTTGAGATTGGTACCATGCAGATATTGTTGGTTATTATTTTCTCTCTTGTAAGTTTTTGAAACTCATTTTACTTTTTGCAATTTTTTAGTCCTAATTATTGTTGATCATTTTATTGCTGGCTGAATGCCTAAATAATTACAATCTGGATATATTTTTGTTACTGTTTTGTGAGAAAAAAATCTGAAAATGTTTCCATGTTTGCAGTATCTTCGTAAGATATCTGTTCTTGGCCATCGCATATTTCTAATCTATGCGGTAAGTTTTTTCATTACAGAGTTGTAACGTCATTATTCTAGGTGCTTTTTTTTAGCTTTCGATGCATGTTATATAATGTTGTTGCACGTATCATTTGTGACCATGATCTGCCTTTTTTTGCTAACTTCCAGGTTCCTTTGGGCCTTGGAATCACATGGGCAGTTGCTTTCCTTCTCACTGAAGCAGGAGCCTATAGCTATAAAGGTTGTGATGCCAATATACCTACCTCAAATACAATATCTGAGCACTGCAGAAAACATGTTCCCAGGATGAAGCTCTGTCGAGTTGATACTTCTCATGCATTAAAATCTTCCCCATGGTTTAGGTTTCCTTATCCATTACAATGGGGAACTCCTGTCTTCCACTGGAAAATGGCCCTTGTTATGTGTGTGGTTTCAATAATTGCCTCAGTAGATTCGGTTAGTTTCCTATCATCTATAACAACGATACATGCAGTGTAGATTCATAATCTTGTTGCAATTTGAACTCATAATAAATTCTAATTTTCTTCCGAAATTGCATCTTCAGTGGCGATTCATGTTATCTGTTGTGGGCTAAATTTGTTACTTTGTTTTGGAAGGTCCTGGAATTTCCATGCAAATAAAAGTGTTAATTTCTTTATTGTCGCTATTGATGGTGTATAAACAAAAAGGTTTTGGTTCTGACCTACTAAGAAAGACGGGAAATTACAAGAAAAAAAAAAAAAACTTTCTTAACATTGGTGCTTGAAATTGTATGTAAAGTCCAAAATGTATGCTAAAAGTGTACTGAATTCTTTTTGTGGTCTACTTGAATGGTGTTCTGATTGCTATTTATGTCAAGGTGGCTAAGTGAAGGGCAGATTTTTAGGTTCTGAAATGTTAGAGGAAGGAATAATAAATTGTTGTAGTCATTTATTAATTGACTGAGATATGAGTGCTCCATTATCCCATTTGAAGTGCTAATCTAAATGCTTAGGTTCTTTAAATATATTATAAACATTGGGTAAGATTCCAAGGCTTTCAGTTACCTTGGTCTAATTTATCTAGCTCTTACACACAGAATTAGCACATTACCACCAAATCCAATGATCCATTGCTTCTTTTGCAAAACTTGGGGTCTGGGAACTTTGTGGATGGTTAAAATGATCTAAGTTAGCATATGCATGCATGCATTTCTATATGCAGCTCTTGAAGTGCCCTGGGGGTGGAACTGGTGCCTGGATTAGCCAAGCTGACTCGCATCTAAGGAGTATCAAACCATAAATGAAATAATATCTATGTCAAGTTGCAATACATTAAATTCTTTTTCCTAGATTTTATACACACATGTACTTTAGTGATTTCAGCCTTTCTTCATCTTTGTTTCCATTTTATTGTTTTGAAGTTGCTAATGGGACCCTGACTTTACCTTGGTTGCTGCATTTCGTAGGTTGGTTCATATCATGCATCAGCATTGCTGGTGGCATCCAGACCTCCAACGCCTGGTGTTGTTAGCAGAGGAATTGGTCTTGAAGGTCTGTCCAGTGTATTAGCAGGTCTCTGGGGTACAGGAACTGGATCCACATCACTGACTGAAAATGTGCATACAATTGCAGTGACTAAGATGGGAAGTCGCAGAGCTGTTGAATTGGGTGCATGTGTTTTGATAGTCTTATCCCTTATAGGTACGTTATAATCAAGTTTACTTTTTAAACTCGAAGATGCCTCCATGACAACTAAAATTTTTAATGTCCTTGTTAATCTGTCAAAAGACATGATATATCTAAAGTGTGACTGCATGTTAATTGTAATTATTGTTTGTATAGATAACATATAAGAGAATTCAAGGATGAATCAACTTCTAATGACTACTCGGATGTTTCTTTATGCTGTATTAGGAGGTCATTTGGCCCACATCATTAATTTCTGTCCAATCAACGGCTCAATCTGGTGAAAATAGATGTTTGAAGGTTCAATTGGATAAAAAGCGATGTTTGAGGGCTCAATTGATTGCAATAAAATGATAGTGTCTTAGATGTTTATTAATAAATTTAATTGTTTTTTCTCATAAGTTTGCAATGCCTTAATTTGTCTTATTATGATGCATTTATAGAAAAAAGAAATGTTTATGAATTAGACAGAATGGTGCAGATTTGAATCTCTTTCTTTGTCTGTTATTATTTTTCTCAATTTGGTCACACTACATTTCTGCCATACACAGGTAAAGTTGGAGGGTTTATTGCTTCAATTCCTGAAGTCATGGTTGCTGCACTCCTATGCTTCATGTGGGCAATGCTTGCAGCTTTGGGTTTGTCAAATCTACGCTATAGTGAGGCTGGAAGCTCCCGGAATATCATAATAGTTGGATTATCTTTATTTTTTTCCCTCTCAATACCAGCTTATTTTCAGCAATATGGCATCTCTCCAAATTCTAACTTGTCTGTTCCAAGTTATTTTCAACCATATATTGTGGCATCTCATGGACCTTTCCGCAGTAAATATGGTGGGGTATGCATCTCATAACTTTAATTGAACCATGAATTCGATATTTGTATTTTTGATTTAGTCTCATGCATGTTTAATAATTGGTGAAAAATGGAAAGGATATAATGAAGACCAGTAGAACTTCCATTAGAAGTCCCATCAGTTTTCTTCTCTAATAGTGTTTGTAGTTGCATGATCAGATATACTTTGCAAAAATCTATGGTGCTCAGGAAATGAACCTCTTAGATTTAGAGTACTTAGTATGTTAATTTTGCAATGACCTAAGATTAATATGACTGTTATATCTGGTGTTGATACTTAGGTAGTTGAAACTTTATGAGAAATACGATCATGCAGCTATTATTTACTTCTAAATCCTTTTGAATGATGTCCAAGAAAATGCTGGGCTCTGCCAAGCTCCATTGTTTTCACCGGATACCTTCGAATGTTCTAATTCACAACTATCTATCCTAAAATATTTTACCAATAAATAAGCATTTGTTTGTTGATGTCTTTTTTGCAGGTAAACTACATTATGAATACGTTGCTATCATTGCACATGGTAATAGCATTCCTGGTGGCCGTTATATTGGACAACACCGTACCTGGAAGTCGGGAAGAACGTGGGGTTTATGTATGGTCTGAATCTGAGGCTGCAAGAAGGGAACCTGCCATCGTCAAAGACTATGAGTTGCCCTTCCGGGTCGGTCGGATATTTAGATGGGTGAAGTGGGTTGGGCTTTGACAACTTTTTGTAGGCATGTCAGTCATCACGACATCGTCAAGTTCATCAATAGCCATTCATGGGGATGACTACTCTGCGCTGTGATTTTATAGGCATACCCTCAAAGCTCATATGGGTAAATAGCTGTCTGAACTGTTTTTTTTTTCCTTACACAACTTTTTTGGGGGCTATAGGTGCTATAGAGATAAGTTATTTGTGTACATTGAGGATCCGAAGGGATACAGTTGTGTTGTAAGTTCCGTGGGTACATTGAGTCACTGATATTATCCAGAGGGACATTTCACTTTTGCTGAAGACATTTTTAGTTACCATCTTTCATGTATATTTTCCCATTATTATTTGATTAGCTTCTTTCAGGAGTGCTGGATTCTCTCCCATCTACATTGGAATTATGCTGGTGAATGTTTTAAACAGCTTTTAAATTAAATTTTCGGGCGTAAAATGTCAACTTGTGATGTTTAAGAATTGTCTATAATATGCACTTCCTTCGTGTTACTTGCCATGGGCGCATGCCTTACTGTTCCTATTGTGTTTCTTGAAGTCTACTGGAACGGTTTAAGCCAGAACGGACCTATCGTTAAAAACTTAACAGAACCATATCCTCAATGCCAGGCTAATGTGATCCTAAGACTTAATGCAGCAAGGCTTGCCACTCACCAAATTCTCCTGGTCGGGAATAATGAGATACGGCTGACAATATTCTCCATTGAATGTATAAGGAAAGGCCCGCATGTGAAATTCACAAAAATTGTATGAATTTGCGTCTTTGAGGTGGGCAGGGCAGAAGAAGTTAGGTTGAAGAGCAAATACTTTCTGTTGGAATAATTAACCTTTTAGACTGCAAGTCTAACTTTTGTATATTTTCCATATCTCTTAAACTCCAGCTTTAGTTGGAAAAGACTACTCATTTGAATTGTGACTTTGCTTCTAGAGTTAATTATTATTTTTTTTTTACACTTTTGCCTTCCACTTACAGAATGATTTATTGTACCTTTCTTCCATCTCAAAGACTAGTGGCTTTGCTCCGTGTGTGTGTGTGTGTGTATAAATATATATATATATATATTTACTGTATAATTGTGCATATTCTGAGTGGCTGAAAGTTGAAGAAATCTCTCTACTTTCTGAGTGGCTGTTCAACAAGGTTGTCCAAACATCGCATCTTCATCATCATATCGAAGACAAATCCTTGATCAAGGTCGACAATGAAATGATGTCGAGGAAGAAAATTTCAGCAGCTGGTCTCACTAAAGAAAATTATTGTTCGTACTCGTCTTAGGGTTAGCAATATTTTCAACTCCTACACCAGAGAGTGAAACTGGTTCTGCTATATATTGGAGGTTAAGTATTGGTTTTGAAGCTCGTTACTGTAGTTTCAAACATGGTGCAAACAGGTGAAAATTTTCTGTGTAACTCATTTCACTTTCATCCATAAATATAGCTTCAAAATAATTAGAACTCATTGGGCCACAATTTTCTGCAGCAGTTGTTAACTGGTTTATGCCACTGAGGCAAGCTACACAAAAGCCCGTGATCCAGTTGACAATGTTTCCTCGCATGGTAATTGGTACACAATTCCTATTTTTCTGACATCATTGCCCTCGATATTAAGGGTTAATATCCTTCAGTTTGAGGACCACTGAGTTCGTATGATGCAAAGGGGTTACCTGTTGCTATCTCCCACAACTTCATCACTCTTTTCTTTTGTCAATTTTTCTCTCATTTTCATCAGTCAGATTATTGCTCCACCTCCCTCTTACAAGAATGACATGTTAATATCTAAAATCTTGCACTAGATACCTTTTCAGCTATAGAAATCAATAAACATAAATCAAATAAAACCAACAAAATGAGAAATTCAACATATGAGACTTATCACATTACATTTCTTATCATTAAAACATGACCCGATGCGACAAATCTTGTACATAACTAATTTAGAGATATTCATGTTTTCTAAGTTGCAATGATTCCCTTAAAATTTTGGAAAGAGATAAACTTACATTTTCTGAATTGAATTGAATAAAATAGTATACATCAATTTTTTATTTTTTTGCACAATAGAAAAAAGTCCACATCAAATCATTTTTCCCTTCATTGTGTGAATCATGGATAATAAAGTTGGGTTTTCTAAAAAATAGTCAAGATGATCAACTAACTGTCGACATGTAACGCATGCTATCTGCTGCTACTTCATATAATATCGTAACGATTTTGAAATTATCAGACATAAAAAATTTTAAAATAAAAAAAAAAAAAAGAGAATCGTTACTAATTTTTGTTATAATGTGATTGACTACTCAAAAGTTTATCTTTTTAATAAAATTATAAAAACAGGTTTAAAATTTATCAAAAAGATAAATTTTGATTTATGAAAATCATATTGAGTCCGAGAGTCAGTTACGTGTAGAAAATAATTAGCACCCCATAATGCCCATAAATTGGTACTATTTAATTATGCGCTATTTTCAGTATTTGATGAAATAATTTTGTTTTGATATTTAATAATATAAATTCTCTTTTTTAAAAAATTAATTTTATCAAAATTCTTTATTTAGGAGTATTGAAAAAATCTCTAAGTTAAAGAATTATTTTAAAATTTTTCAATATCTAGACAAAACTTTAAAAATAATTCTTTTTAACTTATATTTACCACGACATCCCTTGAAAATGAAAATAACATCATTTGCAGAAGATAATTATTGGTGACTCTCCAACATCTAGGCAGAGTATCAAAAATTATTTTTTTCGAAATGTTATTTTTGTTTTATTTTAAAATTGCACATTTCTAAAAGTAAGTAAATTAAAAAACATTTTGTACAAAAAAAGTAAATGATGATACTATCAGGTAGCAAACAAATATGCAAAATGAGTGCAAACAATAACAAATAAATGTAATTAAGCTAATAGGTGTTATGTATAATGATGAAATGCAAACTTGAAACTAGATTCTTAAATATAATTGGACCACCTTGACTCTCAAACATCTAGGCAGAGCTTAGGTACTACTATTTATATTTAATATCCGATTTTATTATTATTCTTATTTATTTATTGACCCTATTATAAATGTAAATTAAGGATTCGTATGAAAAACTTAATGAAATAAAGTTTCTTAAATACCTCATCATTTAGACGGCATTCGAGAACAAATCATTTCATATGAGATTTTCACACGTATCCTTAAAGTTTCAGAATAGATTTAGGGTTTTAGGGGTTTTGGAGTTTGAACGATTTTTTCGGTGATGGTTTAGAGTTGTGTACCAAATTTTGAATTTTTGGATTTGAATTTTGAGGTTTTTGGATTTTATGGTTTGGCATTTTGGATTTTAGGGTTTCAAATTTAGGATTTGGATGTTTAGGGTTTCGATTTTAGAACTTAGAGGGTTTAGGGTTTAGTTTTAGGGTTTATAGGGTTTAGGGTTTAGTTTTATGGTTTAGAGGGTTTAAAGTTTTGATTTCAGGGTTTGAAGGGTTTTGAGTTTGAAGGATTTAAGGTTTAGTTTTGGGGTTTGGAGAATTTAGGGTTTTGGTTTTAAGTTTTCGATTTTAGGGTTTATATTTGTTAATTGAAGAAAATACGAACATCTCTAAAAATCTTCAACATCTAGATAGATTTTCGGAGCAAGTTCGATTTTCATAATTTTTAAACATTAATTAAAAAGTTTTCATATTTATTTTTTTATGAAAATTATTATTATTATTATTATTATTATTATTATTATTATTATTATTATTTATCCTTTTTTATACATTTTTTATTTTTTTATAATAATTTCCCAACATCTAGGCGAAATTATTTTTAAAAGTGTATTTTTATTCCCTCCAACATCTAGGTAGGAAAAATAAAAATAAAAAATATTGTTAAATTTTTATTATTTTTTAGATTATTATATTATTATTTTAAGCATTTTTAGTATTTTTATATTTATTATCCTATTTTATTGTTATTTTATTATTATTAAAAACAATCAAATATTTATTCTAATAAATTTAAAAATTTATCATACATAAATATTAAAAAAATAAAACTAAAACTAATAATATAAAAATTAGAAAAAAATTAAAGAAAAATTAAAGAAAAATACTTGAACTGGATTGGTCAATAGTCCAGTTAACATTGGTTCGACCAGTTCAGATGGTTCAGCGGTTTGATCCCGTTAAACCAAATGAGGAGCAGTTCGACGAGCGATTCAGTTAAATCGATTCAGGGCTGGTTGAATGAAGGGTTACCGGGTCGGGTTGTGAGGATCCGGGTCAATGGGCAGATTTCTTTAGTCCAAAACAACATCGTTTTGGGCTTGGCTCTTCTATATAAAAGCAAAAAAAAAAATTTAGCTCACTTTATCTTCTGCTCCAAAAAAAAAAGTTTTTCAGAGCTCTAGAGAGAGCTCCCAGGGGCTCTGTCGATGTTCGGTCACCGACATCCGTGTCGTCGTGCTGGCCACCGCGCCTACCGTCACCGATGAGCCGCCGTTGGTGGTCCAAAAACATAAAAAAAACTCTCAAAACGCTCACCTCAACTTGATTTTTTCAAATCCGATGTTTGTTTTGCCAAAAACAGCCCCGATTGACATACATTGGGCCTTAAAAGCTTTCGATCTCCTTTTCTTTAAAAAAAAAAATTGACGAAATTATTTTTTTTTTTTACAGGTGGCTTGGCATTGGGTTCCTCATTATAGGGAAGACTGTGTTTTATTTTTTGTTTTGAGTTTTTTTTTTTTATTTTCTGATAGGTGGAGATAGGGGAGAGCTTAGGTTTGGAGTTTGGGTTTCTGATGTGTGAGGATCTCTGGGTTTTTGGTAGGCAAGGTGTTTGTGTATCCAAAGGTGTGTCCCAAAGCTCTTGGGTGTGTTTGAGCTTAACGTTTAAAGGGATTGGGTGTTTGAAAAATAAGGAGTGATGATGGAGCTACAGTGTTTTAGTGAGGGAACTGAACAGGGGGTGGTAGGATGCGTGGGTGGCTAATGGTGCCGTGCACGGCACACACTGGCACCAACCCTTACCTTTTTTTTTCTTCTTTCATTTGGATTTTTGTGTTTGTTTTTTTTTTTAATTTTTTAAATAATTTTTAATTTTAATTAAACTAATAATAATATTATTATTATTAATATTGAATAAAAATAAAAAATAATAGACCTAAACAAAATCGATGTTTATACTTAACAATCAAAGTTAAGCTAAATGGGAAGAAAAAACAAAAGCAGCCCCGAAGCCTTGGCACAATATATAAGATTCCTTGGATCTTCTATATAAATATACATATATATATATATATATACATACATTTTTAGCAAATCGAGATCTATTAATAATTTTTAATATAGACGTTGACATAGCAAAAAACCTTGCCCATAATTATGTGCACGATTTTAGTGTATATATATATATATAGTATTAAATAACTAAGTATGGTAACATTATTGACCATGATTCCCTCACAAAATATGTTTATTGGGCTAGATGGTGTGATTTTCACAAATCATGTACATAAGAGTCTTATTTTTTTAATTAAAGAGAGATCTAAGTTATACTAATTAAATTTTACATTATTTTAGAACTTCATCTACCAATTAATTTTTAACAAAATTTAACGTTGGATATATATATATATATATGTATATATAAAATGCTCACAGCTAATATTTTCTGTTAAATAATCTTGCTCATTCAGGTTCATGAACATCCCTTTCTACTTCTTACCACAATTAAATTCTATAGTTCAAATGGTTGTATTATTAGGCAATCTCTCTTTTGAGAAATGTTAAAAGTATTTAACTTAAGATTTAATTTAGTTGACTAATATAATTATCATTAAAAATAATATTTAATAATTTTAAATTTTAAATTTTAATATTTGCATGCGGCCTATTAAATTAGGAACTCCTTTATACAAAAAATGTTAAAGTGCTCAATAGTTTGATTACTCACTAAAAAAAAATCAATGTTAATTTTTTATCTATTATCTTCATGTCATTTTTATAATAGATAGATATTCAGCAGAGGAGCGGCCTTACGCTAACGTTCTGTCAGAACTTAGCTTGTTCTGCTTAAAAAAAGCATGCGGCATTGCAGTCATATTGAAATTTCTTAATTTAAAGCCAATTTTTGCTGTTGTTTTATATTTATCTTTTTCATAAACCTACGTCTCCTTTGTTTGTTAGTCCATTAACCATATATGTTTTTCTCTCGTTTCAAAAAAAAAAAAAAATTGTTTTCAATTTCTTTCACATGGCTAAACCCTTTGATTCTTCTAGGGCTTAATTGAAGAATTGGGTATCAAAAATCATTTTCTATAAACAATAATAACTTATATCAAAATTTTCACTAAGACAGGTTTTTTTTTTTTTTTTGTTTCCTTGTTGTCCATGTGCATGGCTAGCTTTATTATTTTGAAATATTTTTATATTTGAGATTATCAAAAGCTAAAAGTATAATATTTTATCAATAAATGATATGATAAATTTATCATAAAATATCAAGATTACAAAGTAGATTGGGCAACGGTCCCTCCCAAACTCGATTGTGACCAACTTGAAACTCAACTTTTGCTAACATATTAACACGTCTCTTGCGTGAAGCAAGATCCAAAATGTCCGAAATCAAACCTCCAATTTTTATGGAACATAAATGCACGTAATCGGTTGTTTAATCTTTCTTTCTTTCTTTTTTTTTAATACATTGGAAGAAGTTTATAAACGGAAAAAGGAGATTTTCTATATTAATTAATTTACTTTAATTTTAACAAAGGTTAGGTAAAATGAATTATGATATATATATATATATATATAGTTACATGAATATATTAGTATTAAATTGGCATGAAACCAAAATGGAATTAAAACAATTATTTGACCCTCTAATATGTACCATATTATCCTTAAATTAATGTTGAAAAATAACTAAGAGCTAGCTATCTCATTTTCTACCACTTTTATCTATCTTAATGCTCTGCTAGTATTAGGGATTTTATGCTCGTATCAGTTTGCAGCCAACAATTATATGATTTGTTGGCAAAATATTAAAATTTTTAATGTCAATTATCAAGAGTCTCCTAATATTCTCCAATAATAATAAAAAAAAAAGCTTGTATTAGGACTCTCATGCCAAGATTTTTTGGGTTAAATATATATATATTTTATTATCTAGAGAGCTATTTGTTTAAAGCTTTTCGATATACAATTATTATTATTTAGCTAGATTTTCAAATAATGAACTTTTTATGGTCATTCTCAAAGTTCAATGAAATTGCCCAGAAACGTTATCGATTTGTATAGTTATTGAGACCTTGGACAAAACGTTGTTCATGCATATATAAACCTCGTTGATTTTATGTGCACGTGTGGTCCAATTTTTCTTTGGAATTAAGCAGACTTTGCCTTTGGACCTTTTATATACAAAACAAAACATAAAATGAAAGAAAAAAAAAAAAAAAAAAGAAAACCGACGTTTCATAAATCAAAATTTATATAGTGATATTCGAATTCAGCTTTTTGAGTAAAGATAAAAATAAAATTATTATTAAAACTATATATATATATATTTATTATATATATTATTAAAACTATATATATATTGTTACACGTTTTATTACTTATATATATATTAATTTATTAATTTTCTTATATATTCTAATAAAATATATATATGCAATTTTTTAATTTTATTGGTGAAAATTTTAACCTTTATTAAGTTGAATGAAATAATTTATTATTATTATATACATCAACAATAAAATTTTTAAACTCTACAAATTAATATATTTCAAACATCAATTTAATACTTTTAAGAATTTATTAACTATTATTAAAAATAATATATATGTATGCATGTTTAATAAGACACATGTCAAAATTTGTCAATATATAATTAAGATAATTTTTATATAATATAAGAAAAATAAATTTGAAGTACATGTAGTTGTTAGGTAGCAAAATTGGTCTCTACTATTTTCTTCTCACCTAATTTAACCTGACTGCCGTCTGAAGTAATGCAGGTTAATTGAACTTACTTCATATGGTTGGATAGTTTAAATCCTTCAATTTCAACAAAGCGAGTCTTGAAGAATGCCAAACAGATTTCAAGAAATATAATAAGCTTGTTGGATACATATGACTCCTGAGAGAAGCTTTTCTAATCGGGTCAAGTCAAAAGCTATCTAGAAATGCAACTTGTTAGAGTTATACGTGTGGCTGTGGTTTTTTTTTTTTTTTTTTAATTTTAATGTAGAGATCTAATTTGATTTTATATTTGATTTTTTCAATTATATTGATTGATATGTTTGTCTATTTAATATATTAATTTTTTATATGAATATAATATTTGATTATGATTATAAAATTTTTAAATTTATAATTTGATAAAAAAAGGAAAAATTTTTTATTTTTTTTCTTACATATAACTTCTCCGTATGTTAACTTCTTCTCATTATTATTATTATTATTATTATTATTATTATAATATATTTTACATAAAGAAAGAAAAAAAAACAGAACAAAACAATTTTTGCTGATTAAGCCATGTTAATTTCAACTGCTTCGCAACAATAACTCCAATTACTCTCTTTTTGTGCATAATTAATTTCAGAAGTAAAATTATTTATTGTACATGATGCAATGGAAAATATTTATGTTGTTTGATTGCTTTTTCGAAAATTTACTGTTTTTTTTTTCTTCAAATGTAGCCTTTTTTTTTATTATTAAACTTGTTAGTAAATTCCAAACAATAAAAAATAAAAACTAAAAAGGTAATTAAACCCCCTTTCGCAAAAAGAAAAAAGGTTCTTGGGATTTTGGACCTTAGCACCTTAACACACGTGGCCGGGCAACGTGGCACTGGTCCTGCGAACTTTGGCCCATCTATGGGGAGAGAATGCCTAGGGACAAATTTGCCCCCGTCAAAATAAAAACTATACTATCTAATTATTCATAATTATGGGTCCACAATTTTTTTAAAAAACCTTACAACGCGGATGATGGTCCCCTCCTCACACCTACCATCAAATTTTCTGTATGTTCTTTTATTTAATTTTAATTTTAAGGATTACATTGTATTTTTGGACAATAATATAATTTTTTTGTCAATGAGAATTATAAAAGGATTTGAATTATAAAGCACAATATATGTATGTAATAAGAGAGGAAAGAGTTTGAAAAATATGTGCGTACACTTACATTACATCGAAAGTAAAAGTACTCATATTGAAAGAAAATTATTCTGATAGCATCGATATTTTACTATAAATTTAGCATTATCATAAGAAAGAAAAAAGTTATTGAAAATGCTAACAAATTACAAATTTTTTTCTCTTTTTTTTACATCACTTTTCATATGTTCTTTTGATAATTACAAGTTGAATTTTCATTTTTTGTATAATTGATTTTTGCTTTAGTTATTTTTTATAAAAGGAAAACAAAAAAAAACTCTCATGTGCCAAATTATATTTTTTATTAGTCAACATGTGATGTGAGTAAGCAAAGTATAATATGTGAACATAAAAAAATAAATCATCTTTATTTTATTTAAAATAAAAAAGGAATGCGGGGGGGGGGGGGGTAGGTATGAGATTGACTGAACCACCACCTCCGCACACGCACCATCCTCTCAAAGACTCATCTCTTCATTTCTTAATATAAAAGCCCATCACCCCTCTTCTTTTTCTCAGCTTGACGTTCCCTTCTCCGAGAGAACACCAAGCTTTTAATAAAACACACCCGAAAACAAATACCTCCCTTTTTCTTTCATTTTCGATCTGTTTGTTTTAGAAGGAAACGCTTTCAAGTTTTATTTTAAAAAAAAAATGCAGGCGGTTACTCCTACGCAAAATCTTAATTCTTCTATAATTCGTCCGTCGAAGCCTCGGCTCAACCAGCTGACTCGGTTCGCCGTCCGCTGTGTATACCGCTCTGACTCAGTCCAATTCCCCAATGGAGTCGGTTCAAGCCGCGCAGATTGGCAAAGCTCATGTGCTATTCTCTCTAGCAAAGTCTTTTCTCAGGACCAAGATTCCGGCGATAAATCTAACCCTCCTTCCGCCTCCGACCACCTCGCCGCCGCCGTCAACGGCCATAAAACCTCTATAGATCTCAACCTGGTTCCTATTAACAAAAACAAGAAGCTTCAGCCACCTTCCCAACCTCCTCCACAGAAACCGTTAACTATCACCGACCTGTCTCCTGCTCCTATGCACGGCTCTCAGATGCGAGTGGCCTACCAGGGAGTGCCCGGTGCGTACTCCGAAGCAGCAGCGGGAAAAGCTTATCCTAACTGTGAAGCAATCCCCTGTGATCAATTCGAAGTTGCGTTTCAAGCAGTTGAGCTTTGGATTGCCGATCGAGCTGTCTTACCAGTGGAAAACTCACTCGGCGGCTCGATTCATCGGAACTATGATCTCCTCCTACGGCACCGTCTCCACATCGTTGGCGAAGTTCAGCTTCCAGTCCACCACTGCCTCTTGGCTCTCCCAGGAGTCAAGAAAGAGTACCTGACACGTGTCATTTCTCATCCACAAGCCCTCTCCCAGTGTGAACACACGATCACCAAGCTCGGCCTCAACGTCACACGCGAAGCCGTTGATGACACCGCGGGAGCCGCCGAGTACATCGCAACGAACAACCTCCGGGACACGGCCGCCATAGCAAGCGCACGCGCTGCCGAACTCTACGGACTCCAAATTCTCGCCGATGGTATCCAAGACGATTTGGGTAACGTCACGCGCTTCGTTATGTTAGCTCGGGATCCAATTATCCCACGCACGGACCGGCCGTTCAAAACGAGTATAGTTTTCGCGCACGATAAAGGGACGAGTGTGCTTTTTAAAGTTCTATCGGCGTTTGCATTTAGGAATATCAGTTTGACGAAAATCGAGTCGCGGCCGCACCGCAACAGGCCGATACGGTTGGTCGACGACGCGAATGTTGGAACGGCCAAGCATTTCGAGTATATGTTTTACGTGGATTTCGAAGCGTCGATGGCTGAGGTTAGGGCCCAAAACGCGTTGGCTGAGGTACAGGAGTTCACGTCTTTCTTGAGGGTGTTGGGCAGTTACCCAATGGATATGACGCCTTGGTGCCCTTCAAGGGGAGTGTAGCAAAACCCATGGAAATTAAAAAAAAAAAAAAAAAAAAAAGAGAATTATTTGCATTAAAAAAAAAGAAATTGGGGAAAATAATTTTAATTTACTTTTTTTTTTATTTGTGTTCTTTTTTTGTTATTACGAGAATTTTTAATTCATCAATGGATTCAACAACAAGCAAAAAAGAATTGTTGTTGAAGTAGATGTTGTTGTTGATGTTGGGTAAATATTTTTATGATAGAGTTTGATCAAGTCCTTCCAAAAAAATGATCTTGTTTTCGTGAGTGTGAATACCATCTCAAGCTCAATGTTTTCTCTCATTTTTCCCTTAATAATCTTTTGTTTTGTATTGTTAATAACGTTAGATGGAATGTTTATTGCCAGTAAAGTGGTTTTTTTTTTCTTTTATTTTGATAATTTGGAATTTTGAACTTGTAAACACTTCTTTATATATAATTTCTGGTTATCATTTAGGCTATATATCAGTCGAAGTTACAACTAAACTTAGAATGTTTATTTTTTAGTAGCCAGATCAACTTTGAAGTTTGAATCCCTGAACCCTAAACATAAAATCTAAACCTTTTTTTTTTTTTTTCTTGATATTAAGACAAAGCTTCATTGGCCGAAAACCTTAATTCTATCTTAACGGTTATAACATTTCCATTTAATAATTGTGTTGGCTTTGAAAAGCTAATAATAAATAAACTAATCTTTTAGAAAAATTTTCCATGGTACATGAATATTATATATAATATAAAATATCCTAATTTATTTTTCAAAAATTTTCATGGCTATAATATTTGTTATCATTCATTATTCAAAAAGGATTTTGAGGGAAACATGTTAATTTAGATATTGATAATTTTATTATTTGGGCTCATTATTCATTACTATATTGCAATGAGAAGCAATAAAAAAAAAAAACAAAAACTGTTTTTAATATGACGATTAGGATATTTTCAGATTTTTGCACGGACCTACTTATCTTATCTAAAGTCTTAATAGAAGCTTCAAATTAATAATTGAAAGAGCTTGAACAATCAGATTAATTTTCATTGTCGATCAATCAAATCACAAGAATTAATGGTTAATTGAATGAAAATTCAATTATATTGATATGATACAATCAAAATTTTTTATTTTTGAATTGCTCTCTATAAAAATCAAATTTTAATTGATAAAAAAATTCTTTTTTTTACTAATTGGATTAATATTTATGTTAAAATAATAAAAAAATTCTTAAAATTCATTACTTTACTTAAATAAATCTTTATATTTTTATTATATCTAAATAAACTCTTAATCTTTAATTTATATTTAAATAAGTCATTAATTTTTAATTTATACTTAAATAAACTTTTAATTTAAATTAATTTTTTAATTTAAAATAAAAACTTATTTAGATAGAAATAAAAAAATAAAAAATTATTTAAATATAATAAATATATAAAAATTTATTTTAAAAAATAAAATAATCTGAAGATATTTTTAGTAATTTAACCTAATATTTATTATTGAAATGCAACAATTAAAGAGAAAGAGAAGAGTAGGGGTTTGGTAAGGGTTAACAAAAGAGGGAGATAGTATGATTAGAAGATGAAAAGGGGTGTGGTAGTTGGAGATATGCTATTGCAGAGTAGTTGAAAGCATTACACCGGCTCTTTGCCAAATGCCAATGACGATCCTCTCACCTCCCGCTTACGTACGTCGATATTTCCATTGACTCGTTTACCCTCCTTACTCTTCTTGTTCCTTTTCTTTTTCCTCTTCCACCCACTCCCCACGCCTTTCTTATACGTACAAATTACATCTTCAAAAGAATATGCCTGAGTACTTTTGTTTTTGTACCACTTCAAATTTATGTAAGCAAATCTAGTACCATAGCGTTTAATAATATAAAAAACATATTTTTAATTTTATATGTACTGTGTACATATGTAGATAAAGTTCATTACACTAACTAACAAAAATAAATGATACGTTTGTAACATTTAATGACTAAATTATAATTTTAATGCAAAGACATTATAAAAAAAAAATTAATTAAAAGTTTAAATAATACTTAATTCGTATGGATTAAGTTAAAACCATAAATTTTGGTTTTAATCAACAAAAATATATAACATATGACAACACTTCTCAATACGATATTAATCTTTTTGTCAAAAAATAAATAAATTATGTTACATTAAACTTTGGTTTTAATATGTCCTCTACTACTGAAGTGTTTCTTAAATGTTCTTACATTAAAAAAATGAAAAAAAAAAATCATCTTCACTACTTAAAAAATAGTAATGAAAAATAGTATAAATTTTCATTAATTTATTTAATGATCAATAATGCACCTTTATCTAAATTTACGATTAAAATTTAATGATTTCAAATTAAATAAGAAAAAAAATATAAATGATTTACATAAACATTTTTCATAAATTTAACTAAATGTACATTATTAACCTTTAAATAAGATAATGAAAACTTTTACTACTTTAAAAAAAAAAAAAATCCATTCCTTCCGAAAAAAAAACCAAAATTATTGATAATACACGTGATCAATGATCATTGTCGGGGACCAAATATATAGTAATTAGTTTGTTCAACCAAAATTTTAAAGCCAATTGTTAGAATCTCGAACAAACTTTGTCAGCCTCCAACTCATTAAAACCATATTTTCTCTCCCTCAACACTTAATTACTATATTTTTAAAGTATTTTTAAGGAATAAAGTGCACTTATAATCCTTTTTTTTTTTTTTTCAAAATTTAGTGTTGTTTACATAGTATATTTAAAACAAACTAAAGGAATATGAGAAAATGGTATTCAAAATCAGAAATGGGTTCACACTGCCCACCCAACAACTAATAAATGGTCTCAATTGGTGTCTTGACGGTTGACCACAAAACTCACCAACTTTTTTAGAATGCTAAGCTTTTGACCCTTTTTTGGGAAGTTCATCCATCCTTGTCTTTCAATCTTTTTTTTTTCTCTTTCAAGGTTTATTCCTTTGCTTCTTCTTCTTTTTGTTCATCTATCTTTTATTTTAGTCAAATAATTAATTATAAATCCACTCCTTCTTTATTTTCATTTGAGTTTTGGTCTCTTCTTTTCTCTGTCACTTTTAACTGATCACCCACAGTTTAATATCCAACAACCATTGTGTCATAACAATTATAATTGATCTCATCCTTATAGCCCCCTGATCAATTTCATGAATCATGACTTCATACGGAAATTCTAGAAAAAGTTTCCAACCACCATTGCAAAAATTATTCATTATTTTTCATAATTTTTTTAGTCTATCGAATCAATCTAATAGGGTCTGACTTTCATTATTTTTTTCTTTTACTAATTGTCTACAATTTTTATTGTTTACAAATTCAAAAATAATTAACAACTATTTATACATATATTATATATAAAATTATCAATAACTGAATTCTGATCAGTGGAAGTGAAATCCAATACTTTACTAACTTGATCAAGATTGGTAATTCACAAAGAAAGCAAAGTTTTCCAATTAAATAAAAGAGATTGAGTAGCATTAATTAGTTGCCCCAACTAGATCAAGATTGCATTGCACTCCCTTTGGTTTCAGCAACTTTTTTTCCCACTTATCAATTTGCTCCCCTTTCATCTCCTAATTGCTTTCACATTCACTATATGCTTCATCTTCGGACACAAGAAATTGTTGCAGCAAAGAAATGTTGCCTTACCTAAACTTGATTGCAAAATAATTAAAGAGACTTGATCAAAATTAGTTGATGGGATTTTACCAACCTTCATATATTTTTTGAAAACATTTCTAATTAATGAATTTAATTAGATTGCACGGTGATTGATTAACCAAAGTTTCTCAATCAACTTTGGAATTACAATCTCTAGCCATTTGTTTAAATCTAATAAAACAGTGACATCAGAAATCAAGTAAATTCTCGTTAGTCCTGCTACATATATCCGATTCATCCCAATCTGCTGCATTAAACTCCAAGGCCCAAAATTTTAGCTCTTCCATTTCTGGACTGAAGACAGCAAATGGGGTGTCTTTGGTGATCTACTTGAGGGTTTAATATAGCAGAGGCCCAAACCGAAGCCGAAACCAAAGCAAATAGAAAAAGATAACGTGGGATTTGAACGCACGCCCTTTTGGACCAAAACCTTAGTTTGGCGCCTTAGACCAACTCGGCCATCTCAACAGTAATGTGCTAAAGTTAGAGTAATTAATATAATTATAAATCTCAGGAAGTGGATTTTTATGCCGTCATGTCACTTCAGCTAAAATCCAACAGCTTATTTTAACTTTAGCAAGCACGTTGTATCATGGTGGTAGTAACATTGTTTTGCCATATCTGAACAAAATTTAGTATATTGAATACGAGTTATATATTCACCTTTTGGCAAAAAACTAAAAAGGAAGAAACAGTGAACCAACAAATTAGTTAGCCCAATCCGTGAGGCCAAGCTACCAAACCAATTGGGTGTGAGAGGAGTGCAAACTTCACTACCATTTTGGTTTGCACAGGAGAATCCATTGTCTTGCCTCTTAATACCAGATACAAACAGTAGTTAAAGTACTGATATTCTATCAAACGCTTCTCGTATTCAGTTAGCAGGTCATAAATGAATCTAAAACCAAAGGAGCATTGCTATTCTCCTAATAAGCTATTCCCAAGCGAATATTTTGGAGCTGATGGCAGAATTAGCTCCCATGCATGGGAGATAAAGAGGAGTGTCAGGGAAAAGGGCACAAAAAGGGGGGGGGGGGGGGAAGAAAGGAACCAAAAAGCGCGAAGATGTGAATTGTGAAAGAGGAACTAGGGAGCACCAAAAGTAAAGGGGTTTTAGATTCGCGAGTGAGTACTGACTAGCTACTTTATCTTGATGGAAATGTCAAAGCATTAGAGTGTGGAGTGGAGGCATATTCCCTGTTGCACTAAATGACTTTGCACGAAAGATATACATATTCAAAAGCAAAAGCTAAGCTTAGTGGAACTGTGGGAGAAAGCAAACTACTCCGTCTTACTTTCTGTTTCACTCATTCGTATAGCCACTCACCACCAACCATATATTTATATTCACTTTTCCAATTTCCTCCTTTGTCTCGTCTCTCGTTCCACAATAATATTGAAAACCTTAGGTAAAAAATTCGGATCCTTAGGCCCCCACCTGGACCAGGGTTGGTCAATTCTATTATTCATTGGAGAATTTTGTAGTGGAGTTTGGAAATACACTTACCGTTGTAATGACTAGTAGCAATGAAACTAATATAAAGTTGAAAGTTTTTTTTTTTTTGGTTACTGTAACGGCTTCGCTTTTGAAAACTGAACTCTTTCAGGAACGTATATTTTAAAGAGTTGGATTGCCTAGAAGTGGGCCATGCATGGGAATTAAAAAGAAAGGAGCTGGCAAGCGTTAGAAGGCTTAATAGTGAGCATTATTCATGGGACAAGATGTGGTGTTTAAAAGAGACAAAGAAATCCCAGAGACCGAAGGAATCCAACAGGCTGGTAAGTACCACTAAGTCAACTGTGGACCACCTATTCCACTAGTCATATGAAAAATATTTTTTTACTATAAGTACAAATTGCTGGAGAAAACAGCCAAAATTCGTGAGCAAAGACACCAAAATTAGTGGTGAAGTTGCCAAAGCATTGTCAGATTTAAGTTCCACTTCCCATTTTCAAACGGGAGAAATTTTTGGGTTCCTGCTGGTGGCCGATAGAAGTGACCATAGGTGCTTTTTCTTTTTTTGTTTTTTAAATCGAATATGGTTGGCTTTTAGAAAAATCTTAGCCAAGATTTGAGTCCATAAAATAATGGGTTTTTTTTTTTTTTTTTTTTAAGCAAGACTCCCGGTCGAGATGGGATAAAAGCGGTAACCCTTATGTTATTGTTTTTTTTTTTTTTTAAAATGGGTGAAGTGATGATATATCGTTAGTTTTAGTGAGATTTTTCATTCAATTTATAAATCATTCATTGACTGTTGAAAAAAGTCGAATTTAACAAATAAATTATTCAAAAATTATCGCTTCAACGAATGCTGTTGAGTGTTAACAACATTTAATATTTAAAAATTATTTTATTAATTTAATATAATAAATAAATGTTATCATATAATAAATAAATTTTATTATTATATAATAAATAATCCATATTAATATTTTGATTGAATTAAAATTTTAAATATTATAAATAATATTAAAAAATATATAAATAATTTATCAATACATTTTTTAAATAAAACCCCTTCATAATATTTTTATTATCATCATATTATCATCTATATTTATTTTAAATTTATTGTTTTAATAATTAATTTTACTAATATTATCATTTTAAATCTCATCAAAATTAATCTAATCATTCATTCAAATGAATCCTAACACTAAATCTCAGCTATCTCTTTCTCAAAGTTAGACGAAAGACACCCTCTAAATATAAGTTCCTCAAATGGTCGAAATGGATGATTGATGATATTTGAATTGAGTGTTGAATTATTATTATTATTTATTTATTTTGCAAGGAAGCCCAAAATTTAAAGGAGGAATTGGAAAAGAAAATTTTGAAAATTTCAGGTTCTTTTCTATTCTTCCCATGTATGTGAAACTTAAAAACAAAAATTTTCAAAAAAGAGAGAAAATTCCCTCAGCATTTTAAAAAAGAAAGTGTTTCGATTAATGTGACGGATACGCCTATTCCTTTTGATTGGTTGTTTTCTACTGCAACAGGGCATCCAAGAAAGATATTGGTCACTGAGTGCAATGTTAAAAGCAAAACGCATGTCTAAAAATCATGAACCTTTTATACATATATCTGCCCACCACAAAATCTACAAATTTCTTGCAACCAATTACGAAATCTTACACATAACAAAATTTAATGGCAACAACCAATTGTACGGAGAATTTGGAACTAGTAACTGCTGTTTTTGGGTTGCATCATTCTCAATTTCCCTTTTATCTAATGAAGAAGAAAGTCCAAAAAAAAAAAAAAAAACCCCGATTTCTGAGAACTCTTAAAGAAAATAATATTAGCTTAACAATAATAAAATAGTTACATATAAATTTTTTAATATAAAAAGAGATTGTAATCTTCAAATGTAAAAAAGATTGCAGGTGTTTGACTTAAACTTCATATCTATTAAATATTATTTTTTAAAAATAATTACATGAATTAATCAAATAAAATATAAGATTCAGTTGGATATAATTTTAAGTAATATTTAACATGAAATAATTTAAAATTCATATTTTAATAAATTAAATTTCATTTAATATACACTCAGACTAGTCATATTCAAGGTACCAAGTGCATTAACTGTTTGAATTTTTTCATAAAATGGTGATTAATCAGTGCACCTGTTTGACAAAAACCCCCAATGAGAATAATCAAGCCAAAATCAAGATATGCCATAACTCATCAATTCTCCAGTAGATCACAGTCGTGGGAAGAGTAGTTTCTTTAGAAACTAGCTACTGTGAGATATTCGATGCAGGGAAATAAAATATTCTTCCCTGAGATGAAACATAAAATTAATTGTCAAATGGGGTATTTCTTTAATTTGTTGACGATGAAGTTGGCTTCAACCCACAGAGATATGTGCAATCATGTTTTTAATATATATATATATATATATATATAGCACAGAAAGTTAGGTCCTTTATTAAAATTTTATGTCAGTTGTTTTTTTTTTTTAGAAAAAGAAAGCTTTGAAGTGAAATTTTTGAATAAAAATATATATGCTCAAATGTTTAAGTTCATTAATTATTTATAGTTGCAATAGGTTCTCATCTTTTTCAAACATAAGCAAAGACTAAATTGCAATTTTGCTTCACATCAAGCAAGATTGAAGCTAAAGTTTTAATATTCTTACTTCAAAAAAATGCTAAGGAAAAGAATAATATTTGATGCTAATCTTAAAAAAAAAAAAAAAGTCTGGGCACATATTATAATTCCAAGTTTAAATCAGGAGAGAGCAAAAGAATTGTTCAAATTTACAAATGTGTTGTTTTAAAAGACTAGCAATATAATGAAAAGAAAAAAAAAAAAGATTTAAGAGTAATTAGTACTCCATGTATCATTTTCCAATGCCACTGTCACACAACTAGCCATAAAAGTGTTCATAGGAGTTTAATATTATCATGTTTCCCAATCAAATTTGTCTGGGGCTGGCATACATGATCTTTCAATTTTCCAGCTCAATTCTCAAGAGAATTTGATCATACATTAATAAACATTTTGTCCTCAAAGAATCCAATCCCAACAATGGCTTTTGATTGGAAAATTTTTAATTCTTCCTGCAAATAATTAAAGATCAAATCTTCCAAAAGAGAAGCAGCATAATCACCATTTTTAGTTTTTAAAGATAACCCATTAAGAGAGGACAAAAGCACTCATCTGACAAACTCTAAAAATGAAGTGGCTCCCCACCATTGTTTCAAAAAGATTGCACCATCTTTTCCCATGCAAATTAACAAATTCCAGGGCATTACAACCGTGATAGAAAACTTAAATGTGGGAGAATATAAAATTGACTTCATATCCTTGCCTAGCACCAAGGAAAATTATCACTTCGAAAAGGGCCAGGTTAGTGACTTTGTTCCGCTGAGGATGGTTGGTTTGCCACTAGTACAGGTTGCTTGCATGTGGATGCAATAACGGTAATGGATTTTGTAGTGTATATTTGGAAATGCCCTTCGTGCTTTGTTTGCTTTACTAAACCAAAATTTTAAAGATTGTTTTTTGCATAAATTTGTGTGGTCTTTTCAAGATGTAAATACCAGACAGTAATATTTTGCCACTTGTCAAAATATTGGTGGTGTGGGCAGCAGCTGTCAGAATGTCCAAAAGTTCACTGTTGACAAATTCAACTACTATTACATTGATTTTTGGAGAGTTCTTGGACTATTCTACGACCACTGTGGCAGACAGTGACTAAAGCTCTTACCTCTCTCTCTCTCTCTCCTCATCATATTGGTGCCATGCGAGCATGGTTTTCAGCCTTTAGGTCCACATCTTGAGGTTTACTATTGTAAGTTTGTAACTGCCTTATTTGGGTGGGTTATGGCCCAAAGTGATCAGCCTTCATGTGATTTACACTGCTAGAATTTCTTTGCATGTATTTATATACGGCATCTCCCCCTTCCACCATCCCAACTCCCAAAACTTTCAAGCTCTTTCTCTCTCTCTCTCTTTTGTCTCTATTTGTGTCCAAGTTGTGAGCGTACTTCAAGCAAAGTGTGTCAAGCTGAAATCATGAAGCAAGGCTTTCTTTCTGGTGCTCTTCTTTTCTTCCTTCTAATTCTTATTTCCTCTTCCCATTTATCTGCTCGTTTCATAGCAAACAAACAAGGTGGGTACTGTCTCCTTATCCTTATTCACCTTCCTTGGTTTAGCAATCATTAGAACCTAAAGTTGTGCATCTTCTGCAGGAAAAGATCAAGAGGCCGAGCTTAGTAAAATCACTGATATGGAGGACATTGAACTAATGAATGTAAGCTTAAACTACGTCTTTTTAAATCAACTATGGACTCTATCCTATAACAGTGGCTAAATATCTTACTACCATAAAGTAGTAATGTTTTTGTTTTCCAATGCTTAATTTGCAGCAACTAATGGGGGTAGAAGCTTGTGATACTGGAGATGATGGATGCTTGAAGAGAAGGATAATCTCAGATGCCCACTTGGACTACATTTACACCCAGCATCATAAGCCTTGAGATTTCCATACTGAGGATTTGAAGAAGTTGATGTCGCATCTTCATAGTTTTAACTTAGTAGTAATTCCCCTATATATATGTTTTATTTTTATTTATGTATAATTAAGTTCTTCTTAAATGTTAACCTTCGTAGTGTGAGAGCCACTAGAATGGGTTGTTAAGGTTTTATAATTATATGTATGTTAGTATAGATTTAATTATGGTGATTAATGTAACTGTTAGAACAATTAGTGCAGCTATGTCTAGCTAGTTTCATTAATTTGCAACTTTGTTCTGTCTAATCTGTGAAAAATGGGATGCTATATTTAACCAAATAGAAAGGTGTAAGCTGCTACAGCTTGAATCAGCCAAGAAAAATACGGAAAGCCAAAGCCAAAAGTAGTTCCCCTGGAGACTAGAGTTCAAAAATATCATTTTTAAGCAAATCATTTGACAGTAAATGATAAAATTAAATTTGAATATAAAATTACATAAAATTATTTATTTATTAACATCACATTAACAAATTTTTATCATGTGTCAACAAAAATAAAAAAAAAATTTATATGAAATCATTACATGATAAATTTGAAAAAAAAAAAATTTAATTTTCATATCATATTAAATATTTAACTTAAAATTAATTATTTTAAACAAAAAAAACTTAATTTAAATATAAAATTATAAAAAATATATTTATTAAATATAAAAGAACATCGTATTAACAACTGGGAGTAGGAAGACCCTGGGGAAACTTTTAAATGTCGCTAGGTAGGTGACTATGGGATTAAAAGCAATTCAGTAGACAGTTGGGAATTGAGTGAAAGATTCAACTGCATTCACTTTCCCCATTGGAAAGTGCCAATTCTGTAGGGCCTAGGCTGCAGTTGCATAGCTTAGATTAAATAGCTTGTTTTGACTGTTTTGTAGTCTATTGATTTGGACCTCTTTACTTAAACCAACTGATCTGATAGCTTGTAAATATCAGTACTTCAAACCGTATTATTTGATACCCAAGAGGTATTCCCATTCTCAAATAACACCATTGGCTAGAGCCGTTCTGACAGAATTTTTCTGGTTGGACAGTGCAGTCCCTCCTGATTGCTTGTAAGAAGACAAATGCTAATATGGAGGAGACAACCCTTTTTCTTCTATATAATTGTAAACTAAGGTTGGTGCCTTAGAATTTACTAAACTTTAAACAACTTGATGAAAGTATCAGAAGCTAATGTCAAACAGTTAAATGCTTCCTCAACTGCGCTTATGCTACTTATACAAACAAGTTAATCCATTTTAGTCAGAATTATTAAATGCAGCTTAAAAGGATTCTGATGAAATTGTTTTTACTTCACCGAGATATGACAAATCATGACGTGTCCAGTACTCCTTAAATGTTGTACTGCAATTAGATAAGGCATTACTTTCCCTTGCAGATTGATTGATTGATTGATATGGACTTATAGGAAACAAAGTTTTGTATGAATGCTGAAAGAAAAAACAATGGAAGAATTCATAGAAAAATGTGTATTAATTTGTACTTTTGTGTGATTGAAGGCCACACCGGTGAGCTTCCACCACCGACTTAACTAGTGAAACTTTATCAAGTAAAGCCTATAATCATCCACCCTGAATCAGTCACAAAATCAATAAAACCCTTATCCACAACTCAGTTTGTCTGATAAGTGGCTAAAGGGTGAGCTGCATATAATAAAATATCACCAAACCCAAAAGGAGAATATACGTCGAAATTTTGAATCAGTCAAGGTAGAGAATTGACACTTAAGTTTTCCAGAAGGGTGAGTCATGTTTTCCATTTCCCTTGATTAGGGCTCCCTCCATTGTTTCTTAGAATATTTTCCACTTATAAAAGACAAAATCTAAAGGAACAAACAAAGAAGCCAAAAGCGAAAAGAAAAAAAAGTCTTAACAGAATGATTAAGGAACATTAGTATATGAAAGAAATTTCTTTTTTACATATCAAAGAGCAATATAAATACATGATGAAAACAACAATGATGTGATGATAAGTAAATATCTTAAAACACTATGATAAAAGAGCATAATGTGTCGGTAAAAAGGTCCTTTCAGACTGTTTCAGTCAAGATAATCATAAATATTTAAACTTCTGTGCTAAAAGTGAATGAATAAAGTGTTTAACCAACAATCTCTAGTAGTGAGAGAGAATGAAAATCTTCTATTTCTTGTCTAGGTCTGTTGAGTGCTGGATCATTTTTCATGTTTTCTATCTCTCATTGCCTCTTTAGTAATCAAGAAGACTGTCTAGTCACAAAACGATAGACACAGGGAAAAAGACACGACAATATAGACTAAATCGAGGGTCCACTCGATTGTGCTGTCTTCATTTTGATAAGATGTTGTCTTTCTCATGTAAGTTGATTAAGATCAGGTTGCTTTTGGAAGGATCTTGAGTTTTGACTTGTAAAAATCTTTGTTTTCCATGTTTTACCTTTTTCCCTACGAAACTTGTGCAACAGCAAGAATTAGAGGGTAAATTTGCAAAGATCTTAACGGCAATCATACATGTTGACTTTGCAATGACAACGCCTCTCCTGCCAACCGATATATATTCTCTTATTGTGAATCAACAATAGCAAGGGGAAAAGAACCCCAAAATATAAATAAATGCAGAGGCGACGTCGGGCCCGTTTCCCTACATGGGGGGGAATTGGATGCATGTTTCTATATAGTTCAAAGAAAGTTTCCTTGATATGCCACATTAATCTTACCAACAGGGATGTGGAGGTATCAAAGCCTGACAAGGCCGACATAAAATTCAATGGTCATGTGATTTTAGCCAAGTGGTTGTTGGAGCTTACTAGCTTTCTACTTTGATTGCTGTTGAAAACAAAAATCCCATGCTTGTGGATGTAAGGCAGTAAAGAAGGCAAAGGGTTATTAGACAAGACTGAGATAAACGTAGTTAACAGTTTAAATAATGATAATCTTCTCAATATCAAATGCTGAATTAACCCCATTGATTTGGGGAAAAGACAAGTATGATGAAAGCAATGCAAGTTAAAGCTATATTAAGCAAATTAGGTCTCAGAGTAATCGAAGATGTCTACCTGATAAAGTATTTGACAATAATAGTGACAACGACTATGCTAAAAATTTTCTTGCAAACAAATTGAGCATGAAAATGGTGCTGGTCTTTTAACTCCAGCTTTGTTAGGATTTTGAAGTAAAAATATATTTAATAACGGTATCAATATAAAATAAATACAAGAGACGTAATTTAATGTTGCTCAACGTCAATTACCAACATCCAAGAAAACGTTAAGCTTACAGATAGTAGAAAATATCAAAAAATAAATATTAACTCAAGCCTGAAACAAACTTACTTTTCACACGCTAATCTAGTGTGTAAACACATGAAAACCCTTTTATTTCATCTCACATTACCACAAACTCATCTAACACATAAATATCAATGAAAACTTCCACATTAATTCTCAAGATTTGGACCGACTCTATATCTATAAAACCTATTACTTGAATCACCAAAAATTTCTATAACTCTTAAAATTTATCCAATAAATAAATTTAACCATCAAATAATTAATTCTTCGTTCAATAGAATTCCAACAAAGTTCAAACTAGTTCACAATTGAAATTTGGATCAAAATCGTACATACTCAAACTAGTTCCTAAAAATCGGACCTAATTTTTTGAATAAAGAAACACATGCACCATGTTGAACCATGGCTCCATTGCAAATCAAACCATTCTTAGATAATTCAACAATACCTTTTGGACCAGGTAAGGTTGTCCATGTGGCCCAGCTAGTCTTTCTAGGCCTTGCTCTATAAACTCTCTGAACCCAGCTTATATCGTTTGGGTCTTAGCCCAACTTCTTATATACATCTTGAGACTTTGAGCAAATTAAAATAGTAATAATAATAGTAATATAAGAAAATTAATTATTAAATATATATAATGTGACAAATAGTAGGATCTTGGGCCCTTAAAATTTCCACTAAATGCCATGTGTTTGTCATCCGACGGCTGGTATAAATTTGTTGTAAATAGTCTACTCTTAAAGAATTTTAATTGTACCTCATTTTGGTTGATTTTTCATAAAGAAATGTAATTATTTCCCTTTTTTTTTTTTTCTTTTAATAACATATTTGCTCTATAATAATAGGATTCATCTTAACTGATGAGTAAAAAGAGAAAGGAAAAAGAGTAATAAAAAATAATTAATATGAAAGAAAGAAAAAATATATTATATGATTATTCATAAAAAGAATTACTTTGAAAACAACGTGGATATTACTCCATTGAGATTGAAGACACGGCTCCCCAGCAAGTCAGAATAATCGGACAACCTTTGCAGCCAGCTGGGTGTCGAAAACAGAGCAAACTTGCCATGGAAACAACAGTAACTTTAGTAAGGTCATTGTCAAAGCTTTAACATCCCCCACATGAGATCATGATTTCAACTTCTGTCAACTTGTAATTAATACAATTAGAATGAAAACCATATGTTTTTTGCTAACATTGTACTGAGTTTGATGGATCCACCCTAACAATCATTAGAAGCAATGGGCAAATCTTCCAAAATCTTGGTGTCAATTGTATTCGAGATTTGAGATTATTAAATAGGAAGTTATATATTGCAAAAAAAAAAAAAAATCTGATTTATGGATTCGAATGATAATAAGTACATAAAATTTGTTTAAAATATGACAAAATTACTTTTTAAGATTTTATTGAAAAAATATTCTTTTAATGATTGAAAATATCATATTAACTCTCATTTAAAAAAAAAAAAAAAGATGAAGGAGGCTTTTTTAGTTTAAAACCATGGCAAGTTTAGTAGAGGGTTTATATTAAATTTATAAATTATTCATTAAAAGTTATTGCTAATAATAAAATTTAAATCTAAATCTTATAAGCAAAATATTGAATTTTTATTGATTCAACTAAATCCCATTTATTTAACTTTCAATTAATACATTTAATCATAGATAGAACTAGGGGTGCTGCTGTACGAGCGGTCAATTTTTTTAAAATTTTATTTTATATATAATTAATTTTGAAAAGTTTAGACAAATAAAAATATTATAATTTCACCTTATGAAACATTAAATATAAGTTTTTCCCTCCTTTAAAGTGAAAATTTCAGTTTGGTTACTGCACATAATACAAATTTATTATTATAAATAATACGTTTAAGTAATCTTGAATAATGCTTTTTAGGATACTTGATGCAAAGTAATATCAAATTGTAAATTTTTAAATAGAGATGTTATTTTTGTATTAAAGAAGAGTGGGCATGCATCATGAATTTCCACTTACATGGAAAAACCCATA